CCTCCCCCTTCTCGCCCAGCCCCACCGAAACGTCCACCTCCACCCACCTGGCCATGGAACTCCTGGACCTCTCGCGCAAGGAGCGCTCCTCGCCGAAGAAGGAGAGGTTGCTCCAGCTCGGCAGTATCATGGTCGAGGGCATCACGCAGGCGCGCAACGCGGAGAAGGCGCTCGAGGAGGCCAGGCAGGCGGCGCGGAGGGCCGAGGTCGCGTGCGCGCTTTGCAAGAAGAGTTTGGGCGAGGTGACTAGGTGTGTGGAGGGCTGGAGGGGTGGGATTTATTGATGGAATGATTGAATGAAGAAATGAACGAGGGAGCTTTTCCAATGCAGGTATGAGTGCGTACTGAAGTCGACGGCATTATGGGTTTGCGCCTCCGCCTCCGTGAACGAATTTTTTTCCAATTCTTGTGCCGTCCGTCTGGCGCCTTTTTTGTATGTGAGGTGGATTGGTGTCATTTTTCCCTGGCGGATATGAGCGATGGTTGGATCGAGGACAGTGAGACCATGCAGACTGAAGGATGAATATCTTGACAGGCCTGGCGCTTGTCATTATGTTGAAAGAAAGAAGAGCTGTGATGGTGTCTCTGGCTGTTTATTCTCGGCAGTCATGTGAGGATGAGCGATTCACAAGGTTGAGATATCATTGAGTCCACACGGAAACCTACGTGAGGGCATGCACCTGTACACTAGATGTTTTCAATAGAGAGCATTGCAGTTACTATCTATCTATCCAGTAGCTTTCATCATTCATTCTAACCTGTCGTGACTGCATTTTGCTTCTAAGAAAGCCGGCATGTTCGCAGCATTGATCGATCGTCCACAGCCGCCTGTTCCTCCCCAAATTTCAATTCTCATCCAGCAGCTCTCACGATTGATCTCGATACGGCTCACTGACTCTCCTCCTTCTTGACCTCCTTCTCCCCATCATCGTGATCCTTCGCAACCTGACGTAGAACCCGCACCTTGTCGAGCCCCTTGAAGACCTTGGTACGAGTCGAGCCGTCTGCGCCCTTGAATCGGATACGGAGACCGCCGTTGGGGCTGACGGGCCGAGCTTCGTTCTCGCCGATGGGCTCATGGTCGAGGTCCTCGCAGGGATAGTGGTCCATCACTTCGCCTGCTGGAGAGTTAGTGATCGGTTGTGGTTTTCCCGGCAATGTGGAGATGATACGATGAAGCTGAGTGAAAGGAGTGAATGGAGTGAGAGTGCTAGTGATGGGGAAGCAAGCATTCTGCGTTGCGTACCTGGGTTCTTGACGGACTGAATGTAGTCTCCGGTTTGAACGTCAATGGCATAGACCTCGATGGATTTGTAACAGTCGGGTGCCGTGAGGGACCCCATTCTAGACTCAGCAATAGGTTCGGTACTAGCGCGTATCGTGGTGTTGGCGACGAGATCGGACAGAGACTCCGGAGACTCCGGTGGTGCTGTTTGACCACGAAGTCTGGGTGATTGGTTGGGAGGGGTAAAAGGAGATCGGACACCCGAGAAGTTGTTGGGAGGTGTGGTGGGAGGTTCAAAGCGCGGAAGGTTGTCACTTGAACGGATGAATGCGTCCGAGGTGTGGTCGAAACATTCACTTGATGCGTGAGGCTGACTCTCTGCGCGCTGGCCACTGCTTTGGAGTAGTTGTGCCCTCACTATCGCACGATATGCTGCTCGCTCAGCAGGATCGAAGGGGTGATAGGGGCTTGGAGGACGTGAGAGGCGATGGAATGCGATGTTCTGTGCAGCCGGGTAATAAGGGCCAGAGGAGTCAAAGACTCCTTGGTCGGCAAGATTGAAGTTCTCGTGCCAAGGTGTAGTATATCCGGAGTGACCGAATATCGTTGTCTGTGCCGGCGGAGGCGTGATGAACTCTCCAGCGTGCACATTGAATGCCGTTGCCTGTGTAGGTAGCTGCATAGGGAAACCCTGAGCTTGGGCCACTTCGGTCAGGTGCTTCACGACCCAGCGTTGGTGGGCTGGTCCGGTCACATCTTCTGAATAATCCCCCTGAAGACGTGACTCAAGGCGGATGATAGTAGAGAACTGATCGTGAAAAGCGTCTGACGGGTCACCGTCGCTGATAAGGACTGAAAGAGGAGGCATCTTGTGAGTTAAGTCGAGGTGCTCACTACGATCGAGCAAATATTTGAAGCGTTTGGTGATGTGCTAGAGGTCAGGAGACAGTGCGAACGAAGCTATTTGTGGGCTATGGCCCTAGCAGAAGCATGGTGTTGTTAAAGAAGATGAAGAGGTCCTGTCTAGCTTGCGTGAACGGAGGTGTTGAGTTCTGAAAGGCTTATTTCTTTCCTTTACTTTGACAATTGACAAACCGTTGCTTGGCAACGACGGTGGTGAATTGGGAAGGTGCCGTCCCTGCTAAAGTGAATGCTAGAATACAAGGCGCTGGCCTTTATCGATAAACATTGGCACCAGAACAGACGCATCATCACGAGCAGTGTCAAGGTCAAGCATAGCGGCTTCATGGTAGACACATTGATACAAACACCAAGAAGGCGACACACCTTCCAAGCTGGAGAGCTGGAAGAGTGCCAGAAAGAGTGGCATCAAGTTGGCATCAATTGCAAAAACCGGTATGGCAAGAGCGTTGCAAGGACAAGCCTGTCCGGCTCCTCTGCTGCCACATGTGCAAATAGAGATAGCAGGGCTACAATGTGCCCTCTTCCCCTCAATACCGAAGACCACCAGATCAAGCAATTATAATTTGTTTCGATTCTGGACTGAGGTGCAGGGATTACCGAGCAAATCTTGTTGGTGGTGCCCCTATGTTGGAAAGCCTGTGCACAGTCATGCCAGCAACCCGTGTCATCTATTTCATGCCGTCATATCGTACAATCCGTCATCCTTGCGTCTGATATTCTCTCCCATCTCTTTCACTTATTTCCCACGGCGGCATGGGCCAGGTCGGCCAGAGCCTCCTTGCGCTTGAATTTAGCATCCTCAATGACTCCTATTTGTTATGTTAGCTTTGACATTCTGCTGTGCAACTGGCTCGAGGAGCTCATTCATACCAGCATCGGCATCGGAGGAGAAGTGTGCCGACCATTGCACAAAAGTTGACCCCTGGCTCGGTCCGGTTGTCACAGCATAGCATCTGATGGTGGAGATGACACTGGAGTATGTGAGAGCTGGGGTGGAGGATATGACGGAGTAGGTGATGAAGTGGTCAATACTCTAGCAAAAAGATTCAGGTCAGCAATACAGCATCTTGAACGGAAGGAGGTGGGAGAAGGCATCTGCCATACCGAATGCTCTTCCTGCTTCACCTCCTGCTCCGTGCCATCCTTGAAGGTCCACTTGACAACGTCGGTCTCATGGGAGACACCCTTAATGTGGTGGCTCTTGTCAAGCTTTGTCCAGAAGTGGTGGAAATCCTGGAGCTTGATCAAGTGCCAGACCTGGGCAAGAGGGGCGGCGATGACGGAGGACTCTGTGATTGAGGTCGAAGTGGGGATGCGACTCGTCATGTTGGCTATTGGAGGCTGTATAAGCAGGAGGTTTTGTAAGAGCGGAGAAAAACTTCAATTGGCGTTGCCGAAGAATTATGTGTGGGATTTAGGATTTGGAGGAGAAGGTGAAGGTGAATTTAGTGGAAAGTGTACAGGAATTATACCTTTTTGTCTTGCATCATTTCGTAAACCTCAGCCAACGCTAAGTGTCAATACAGGTATAACCATTAGCTCCATTTTCAATGTTTCACCCGTAAATTTTTCTTCAAGTCTTTTCACGAGGGAGACCTTAATTGCGTAACTATAACTTCTCGAATCTTACAGTCAAGTATAGATGATTCGAAATAATATCTTCTATTCGAATTATATATTTGATCCTCGAACTCTAGCGCGGCGGATTCAAAATATAGAATCTCCTCTGTGTATGCTTGGTCATACTAAATGTATTATTACATACGCTATACTCTACGTTGGCTGAGGTTTAGAAGTATCCCCAGTTTTACAAACAGTAGCGCTGCCAAGCACACAGTCAACTAAGGTACCATACCGTAATCCCAACCTCCTCTCAGTCGCAACATAGCCTTCTCGATGCTGCTTATGTTCAAAAGGTGACTATGATGCTATATAGCACTGTGGCCTGCTGTTGCTACAAGTACTCTACCTGTAGCTGTCGCCTGGCTTGCACATTTTTCACTATTTTGGGTGCACAGGAGACCCCCGTGATATACATCTCCTACAGTATCCACCAATCCTGAAGATGTGGAGCATGATCCAAGGGGTGTAAAGCCTTCGGACCGAGCGTCTCGGGAACTTTCCCCAGGTGGCTCCGTGGTCTCATCAGGATTACAATATCTCGACTATGCTTGTTCTAGAGGCGATAGTGTATGAGCTTCTATGCTCATCATGTAGTAGCCGTTGCTATACATAACGCCTTCACCCATCTAACTTTTCGACCCGGACAGTGGGGCATTGGGCGTATGTCTTCTTCGATGACTTGAGAGATTTTGCGTGCCCCATACTATTGCTGATTTCTTCTCCGACTATCCTTTGCGTTAAGTTCCGTGACTCTCTTCATTTTCCTTTTCAAACTCATGTCGAATCTCTAAAGTCTTCTACTGGAGGAAAATTCTTTCCATCACATTTTGTTGCTCGATTGAACAGTAAATATGGCATTTCAAGCTCCTCCTGCCGTCTGCTCTCTGCCGGCCTATCAGACGTTTATGCCGCTTTCTGGCTTTCCCCCTGCTCTTGGATACTGTTCCACGACATCGCTTCTCGACAAAAGGACGGATCGCATTGCTACCAGTCTCCGTACGTCGCGTGACGTCCAATGCCCTGCAGGAGATAACTATCTGTGCGATTTGCTGTCTGAGTTGGAGGCCTCTGATCACGAGTTCGCTCGTGGTGTGTGGTACGCGAGTCTGGATTAGCCCAAGGAATACGCACTTACAAACTTTCTAGCTGCTGTATTGGGGTCTGCCTTGAGACACAACCGACGGTATTAATGTTCTCCGACAGTTTTTCATTTCGGGATTGACAATGACTACTTATAGGCCTTCGTCACAGTCTCCATGACCACACCGATGACGATATCGAGCATCTCAACACCCCAGGTATCTCTTAGTAGTACATCAAACGCCAATTCAAATACTGTCACTAGTTCTAATCCCATTGCCTCGACGACATCCGCAACCTCAAGCATTACCAGCAGCAGCGTTTCCACAATACCACGCGGAACCTTTTCTAGCTCTTCGTCAAGCAGCGCGAGCGTTAATTCCCTACCAAGTTCCAGCGCGCCAGCAATCAGCTCCTCATCTACTGCTAGCAGTGCCAGCGTTAATTCCCTATCAAGTTCCAGCGCGCCAGCAATCAGCTCCTCATCTACTGCTAGCAGTGCCAGCGTTAATTCCCTACCAAGTTCCAGCAGCTCCTCCAGCAGCACTGCCACCTGCCCTACCACCATCACTGCTGATCCATCGTGCACCTCCATCGCCGTTGCGGCAGGAGTAACAGTTACATACAATGAATACTATTCCGGCCAATATACCATTGAATCCACCGACAATCCCGGCAATGATCAAGCGGACTTTCCTCCTATATACAACTCAATGTCAGGCACTCTTGATATGTGTGATGCCGCCACCAATTGCGCCAATATCGCCGATAGTGCTACATCTACCGAAAACACCGTCTATTATTCCTTCGACTTACATTATCTCGCATCAAATGGGACATGGGAGTGCGTGCTGTATTACGATCCTAATACAGATACGAGTTACTTCAGTGTGGCAGATACGGATGCGTGTCTTTCCTTTGGCTTTTCTCAGCCAGGTTGATTGAGGACAGGAAAGGGTCTGTGGGCGCTGGGCAAAGGAAAGCAGGATTAGTGGAATCAGTGGGGATTTCCAGCCTTTGATTCGAAGTTTGAAATTGGTTGTACTCTAGAAAAGCAAAACTCAGAGATGCTTGTGTGGAAAAGCCTAGCATTCCGACCCTTCTAGACGCCATAATGACCTGCCAGGCAGTTTTCACATGTTCGACGAGTACGGCATTTGCTTTTATTAATGTTTTGTCTCTGTAGTATTATCAGGAGTTTCCACTAGCCAAATGTGGTTAGCTTGGCTTCGTGAACTGCTCTGAACTCACAGCAGAGAGGCAGCTTACCTTGGATTTGCGTCGGTGTCGATGAGCACAAACAGGAAGCCTTACTGCCTTGCCCGCAGCTCTATACAGGTTAGAGCCAGAGAATCGCCGTATGTTCATGACTGACGTACCTACCTACGCCCAGCAGAATGTTAGAATGCTATTCTTCCAATCGCCTGTCTGACTCCAGTTTCCACTGGACGTTGAGGATCGAGCTCTGGTCACAAACACTAGTTCCCGGCAGCCACTGCAGTTCTTCTAAAGTTGACCTTGTTTTTCTGAGACTATTTTCCTCGGTCCATCAGCCCACCTCGGTTGGGTTTGAAGCCTGCGGCGCTACACAGGACAAGCCTCAATCATGTCCAGCGTTCTCTCCATCATCCCCTGCGCCACTTGAGCTGTATACACATTCTTGACTACCTCGATTCTTTCAACTGAATTTCACTCCCGTCAAGTGACTTTCACTCCTGGCAAAATGGCTGTCCCTCCTGTCAGATGGTTTCCTCTCCTGTCAAATGGCTTGTGCCGTTGGCTGGTAACGATCTTTTCCTTGACCGACCCTCCGATTCTCCAATGTTAAAAAAATCTTTACGCATTCCAGAGGGACATTGCGGCGTTCACAGGCTTATGCTTCTCCATTCACCATGATTATACCCTATCAGCACACTCTTGCTTCTCTCTATATAGAGGGAGATCCTTCTCTTCTAATGGTTCCGTAAGCTTCTTCTCCAATATCTAGGCTTCAAGGTGACTTCGACCGCAAAGACAAATCGACTTCCTTCTCGCCAAAGCTTCCTACATTAATTCCTCGTTCCAATCCGTTAAAATGAAGCTCAACTACCTCCTTGTCCTTGCTGGCGCGGCTGTTCCTGCTCTGGCCGCATCTGGCTCTTCATCAGGGTCGGCATCTGCCACGACCCCATCTAATACCCCATCTAGTGCTGGCTCTGCTACAAAGCCGTCGACAACCGCATCTGGTACCGCATCTAGTACCGCATCTAGTACACCATCCAGTGCTGTTTCCTCGTCGAAAGCATTGACAAGCTCCTCGGCGGCTCCCGTTACTTCCAGCCCTTCATTGACGAAAGCGTCTACCACAAGCTCTAGTTCTAGCAGCACTAGCGCCAGCTCCGGCGTCACCTGTCCCTCAGCTGCCGGTACAGTCTACGATAACTACGCCATCACTTGTGGTTATGCATCCACCCAAGACAACGGCCAAAACTACAATATAGAAACAACCACCAGCAGCCTTGAGGCTTGCGCGGCAATATGTGACAGTGAGATATTCTCGGATGGAAGTAAATGCACAGCGTTCACATGGGCTCCTGACAATAACAACTACTGCAATTTGAAAAACTCAACAAGCACGGTCACCGCCACCTCCAGTTTTCCCCTCAGGGCTTTCGCTGTCAGACAAGGGACTCAGTCTTCCAGCTCCTCGTCCTCTTCATCTACCGTGGGTCCAAGCTCCTCATCTGCAAAAGCGTCTAGCAACTCTATGTCATCGACGAAAGCAAGCTCGAGCTCTTCAGCACCCATTGTTTCTAGCTCATCTGTAATTTCTAGCAAAATTTCAAGCTCCAGCTCGGTCGGTTCAAGTACCAAATCTTCATCTTCCAGCCTGGTATCCAGCTCCAACACCACGCCTTCCAGCTCCAGCGCTAAGTTGTCCTCTTCCAATGTGGTCTTAAGCTCTAGCAGCGCAGCATCTAGCGCGCCTCCTAGCGTTAGCACAATAGCATCAAGCAGCAAGGCATCAAGCACATCTGCCTTCAGCATAGCCGTGGGCAGCTCTTCAGCACCAAGCTTCAGCGCGTCCCAGAGTAGCACATCCTCATCCGCTGCCGCCAACGTTGCAGTCAATGACAAAGCCGCTGTTCAGTCCGGTACATCTTCTGTCGTCATCCCATCATCGAGCTCCATCGTTGCCTCCTCAGCAGCCTCCAGTTCAATTAAAGCCGGCTCATCTTCAAGTGCTGCTCCCTCCAGCTTCTCCAGCTTCAGCGTTGGCTCTACAGCAGTCTCCAGTACATCTAAGGCCGCCTCATCTATAAGTGTTACGCCTTCAAGCCCAAGCGTTGGCTCTACAGTAGTCTCCAGTATATCCAAGGCCGCTTCATCTTCAAGTACTGTTCCCTCCAGCTTCTCCAGCTTTAGCGTTGGCTCTGCAGCAGTCTCCAGTACATCCAAGGCCGCCTCATCTCCAAGTGTTGCGCCCTCAAGCCCAAGTGTTGCCTCCTCGGCAGTGTCCAGCACAGCTAAGGCCGCCTCATCTCCAAGTGTTGCGCCCTCAAGCCCAAGTGTTGCCTCCTTGGCAGAGTCCAGCACAGCTAAGGCCAGTTCCTCAAATGTTGTCCCAAGTCTTGCCTCTTCGGTAGTGTCCAGCACAGCTAAGGCCAGCTCCTCAACTGTTGTCCCAAGTCTCGCCTCTTCGGTAGTGTCCAACACAGCCAAGGCCAGTTCCTCAAAATTAGTCTCCTCAGCGGCATCCAGCACGGCCAAAGCTAGCTCTTCATCCTCGGTCGTCCTCAGCAGCACAGCTAAGGGCAGCTCAAACACTGCCCCAACATCAAAAATTGTCTCATCAGTGGCGGCCGGCAGCACAGCTAAGGCCAGCTCCTCAAGTGCTACCGCCTCAACTCCTGGTGTTGTCTCCCCAGCCGTATCCAGCAGCGCAGCCAAGGCCACCTCGTCTTCAACTAGTGCCGCAAATGTCTTAGTCAACAACAAATTCGCCGTTGGATCCAACACAACCAGTGCTGCCTCAACACCTATTGTTGCATCCTCAGCAGTATCAAGTGTTGCCTCTTCCGCGATCTCCAGCGCTGCTAAAGCAAGCTCCTCGTCAACTGCTGCCCAGAATTCAGCCACCAAGGCCAGCTCGAGCAGCGCTGCCTCGGCCTCTCGCAGCGTCTCGGGCACACCTAAGACCAGCTCAGCCTCAAGTGTTACCCCTACTTCAAGCACTAAGGCCAGCGCAAGCGCTGCAGCCTCCCGAGCCAGCTCCGCCTCGAATGTTGCCTCAAGTTTGAGCCAAAAAGCAAGCAGCGCTGCTTCTTCAGCTTCAAGCAGTGTCTCTAGTAGACCGAAGGCGAGCTCTTCGGCTACTGCCACAACTTTAAGCACAAAGACCAGCGTCAGCACGACTAGCTCATCTTCTTCGGCTGCTGCCGCCGTGGTAGTCAGCAACAAAGTCGCTTCCGCAGCTTCTACTCTGGCCACTACCACAGCGCCTACTACTCAAAGTTCAGTATCTGGCTCAAATACTTCAAGCTCCCCAACATCTTCCTCGACCAGTGCCAGCGCGTCTTCAATAGCGAGCCAGTGCGCGATACTTGACAGGAGGTACAACTACTACGAGACCAAGATCAAGACGCTACAGACTGAGAAAATTGCAGTCCCTGCCTACTTGGCTGGATATGCCGCTGCTGCTATGGACGCCAGGCAGGCATTGGGCTGCTCTTGATCGAGTATTCCAAACACGAGGGTATCTCCAAAGTGATCTACGAAAAGCGATATTTCATAGTTGCATCTAATACGTAATTATAATCGAGAAAATTCCGAGTCGTCCATTCTTGTTGTTAGTCCTTTGATCACAGCTCACCTGCAGCTCAAGTATCTCCGCTGCTTTCAACCCATACTTTGCCTAAAAGGTGCGAGATGTAGCGAAGCAGCTTGCCTCTGATGTGTAGAAACCCTAAGCGCGTCACTAGCGCCGATCCTAACACATCAAGTAAGGTACTTTTGACGTCTTCCCAACCATGACACTCAACTCGTAACAGTCTCTGTTACAACATAGAATACTCCCACCTCCCCCAATCATGTCGCCCGTCCAGCCCTCGAAACGCCGTCGCCTCAACACCGCCACAAACACCCTCTCCCAACCCTTCAAATCCCCCTTCAAAACGCCCTCGAAGTCAATCCCACCCGCCGCCGCCTCCTCCCCACCAACCAAGGACCCACCTCCCACCCCCAACGCCCATCCAACCACACGACCCACCTCCTCCTCCCCCCCACCACTTCTCCCGCCCGCATCCCCAAACCCAAACCCAACCACAACCACAACCACCCCACGCCCCCATCCCCACTCCCACACCCCCTCCCCCCTCCCCCCCCTCCAAACCCACCACGCCCGCCTCCGCGCCCGCCTCCTCGCCGCCCGCGCCGCCCTCGAAACCTCCGCCCAGGCCCTCCGCATCGAACGGCACCCGGCCCGCGAGGCGGAACTGGAGGCCCTGATCGCCAGGTGGAGGGGCTGGAGCCGGGAGGCGGCCGAGGTGGTGTTTGGGGTTGCGAAGGAGAGGGTGGGGTTGAGGGGGGGGGGTGGGGGGAGAAGGGGTGGGGAGGGAGATGGGGGTGAAGAGGGTGAGAGGGAGGGAGAAGAGGGTGATGGGGATGGGGATGGGGAGGAAGGGGGGTATACGATGGATATGATGCTGAAGGATTTGAATGTCGAGCTGGCGGTCGTGGGCTTCGATAAGGTGGGCCAGAGGTGGGTTGGTTGATTGATGGGGGTATGGCTGGGGCATATGGAAATCTGGCTGGGGCAATCCGATCTCATCTGGCTTCTTCCTTTTTTTAAACGGAGACGGGAACCCCGATTGCGATGCTGGCAGCTCCATCTCTACGCTACGTGCGGGTTTTGGGATCGCGTCGGCGATGGCGAAGTTGGCTTTGAGCGGAGCAGAGCAGAGCAGAGCAGAGATACCCCATTTTGCGATGCTTTGTATGGAATCACGGAGAGAAGAAGAAGGATCATAGAAGAACGAGACGCTGCTATGTTACTACTCTGAGAGACTCGAAAATGATATGGTACAAATGCTTGACGCCTTTTCGGTGATTTACACGTCCAAGAGGGTAGACAACGCCGACGCTATGTTATGCTATGCTGTGCTGAGGCTAATGCCCAACACCACCGGCAACCCACCGTCCAAAGTTCGGATCGTCAGGCGGGGGAAAGAACCCCCCGTCCGCCTGCTGGCCGGGTAATCGCTCTTCGGGCGGAATGCCATTCTCGGGCTGCACCGGGTCGTTGCCCCGTTGCGTCTCCATTTCTCGCCTGTGGTTCGTCTGCCTTTGCTGTCGGTAATATACAAGAAAGGCCAGTGCGGCGGCCAAGCCGACGATGATCAGACTCTCGAGGATGCTGTCGTCGATCTCGGTGTAGTAGTCGTCGTCCCCGCCGGGCATGCCTTCGGGAAGGGGTTCGTCGTAGTCGTCGTCCGCGCCGTGGTAGTAGGGATGGGGTTCTTCGAGGAAGTTGGAGATCCATTCGCTGAGGGACCATTCCTTCTTAGGTTCTGCGTCGCGTCAGGGTCAAAGGTCCACATGATGAATAGCTTCTTGGATTTGGCTTACCTGGCTCAGACTGGATCGACTTGACCTTGCCATTCGTGATGGTGTTCCAGAAGCTCCGCATCCGTAGCTTCGTCAGGCTTAGCTTGACGGGTAGATATGACTCCTGGTTCGTTTCCAGAGCCTGATCATAGAATCTCTTCGCTAGGTGGAAGTCCTGCTCCACGCCCAGGCCATTTTCGTGAATCCAGCCAAGGTTCCAAAGAGCCTGGGCGCTCTGGTGGGTCTCGGCAGCTGTCTGATAACAAGTGGCCGCTTTTTCCATATCTGCTTCGATGCCATACCCGTCCAGATAATAGTCGCCCATCTTGACCATTGAATCAATATTTGACTGCTTTGCTGAACGAGTCCAGTAAATCAGAGCCAAGGCCGCATTTCGAAGCAAAGACGACCTTCGTCTTTTCCACGGGATCAGCGAGTCTAAGGATAGGATTGACTTGTATTCATCCAAAAGATAAGCGACGTTGGCTTGTGCAGACTCGTAGCCTTGTTCGGCGGCCATCATGTACATGATCAAAGCTGACTCGGTATCGCCCTCATCGTAGGCTCGGTTAGCTTCATCGAAAGAAGAGTGGATGCTTTCAACTTTCTCTGCGACCATTTTATAGTACGCTGTTGCCATACCGCATGATCTTTCTCGGCCAATTCCGTTGTTATTGATTTCAGCTAGATGGTAAAAGGCCTCTATGTGCCCATGTCGAGCCGCCAGATCGAAGAAGCGTGAGGCAGTATTGATGTCGCCCTGATCGAGGAACAATTGCCCCATGTTGACTTGGGCAGACGCAAAGTCTTGGTTGGCAGCCTCTTTGAAATAGTCCGAGGCGAGCACAGGGTCCTTCTTTACTCCCAGACCGTGGAGATGCATGAGACCCATCTCGTATTGACACAATGCATCACCATGGGCAACCCCGCGTCTGAACCAAGTCAAGGCTTTCTCGTAGCTCTGTTCCATGCCTTCCCCACGCAAGAACATGCGCCCAATGTAGCCTGCTGCTTTTGAAGCAATCTTAGCGACGCTTTGATCTTCATCACGAATTGAGCCATCTTTTTGCCAGTACTTGCGTGCCACAATCATAAAGTACGCCTTTGCAGTCTTGAGATTCCTCTTCATTGTTCGAGATCCTTCGTAGTGCAATCGGCCCAGACTGAAGGTGGCTTTCAAGTCACCTTTTCTTGACATCAGGTCCAAGTACTCCAGAACATCATCAAAGTCCGCATGTGCATCTGAATTTGGCCCAGCTTTGTTGGCGTACACTCCGGAGCTGACCACACTGGCGCCTTCTCCATACACGCCTCCATTTTCATCTGCAATCTTGTAGGAGTCTTTTTGCAGTAACATTCCGCCGGGAGGACCGGACCTCGAGTACGCAATGGCCTTGTCTGCCACTTTCTTGTACCAATACGCTGCTTCGTTGCAATTCCTCGGAGCCCCAACCCCTGTATGGTGCCGATAAGCCGTCGTCATCTGCGCCCTGGTGCTGTCGCCCATCGCGGCAAATGTATGGTACGTCAAAGCTCTCGCCTGATCCCGTTCGACAGCCTCTCCGATTCCAGTGGCATACATGAGCCCGACCATATGCTGTGCTGAATTATTACCATTCAGCGACGCCAGCTCATGGTATCTCCGGAAGGCTTCCTTGTGATTTCGAGGGTGCGTGTAATTCCCGAAGAAGCTCATCTCGGCCAATAAGAAGATTGCATCCGGCTCTTTCTCCACCGCAGCGCTCTCCAAAAGCCTCACCGCTTGCGCCAGGGGTTTGCTGAGAGCCGAATTTTCGGGCTGTGGGCTGAGGTAGTCTTCTTCTGGTGGTCCATTCATGAAAAGCAGTACAAATGCCTCCTTTGCGTAGTACAAAGTTGTTCCGACCAGGCCGGATGTCTTATCAAAGCTCGTGAACCGAGTTCGAGATGGTTGAAGGGGCTGGAGTATTCGGAGGGCTTCTTGAACGGCAGACGTTGCTACACAAGGAATCAGCTTCCATCGAGACAAGTATGAGCGCTCTCCGTACCCCGACTTTGTCTACCATCATCGGCGCTCGCCTGCTGCCATCGGGATACAGCTTCGGGGCTGTCGTGTGCCTTGAGGGCAGACTTCCCTCCCGCTGTTTGCTCTTTGACGAGGTTGCTGTCTGGGTCGCTGAGGACCTCGGCATGTGTCGTAATGAAGAAGACCCATACTGATACTGCAGTGAGCACATTAAAGTCAGTATGGGACAAGAGCTGTGGATTGAGAGGACGTACAGCATATGAAGCGCAGCCAACGATTATGCATGGCTCCTTACTTCCAGAGGGAGCACCGAGGCTTAATTAATGACACAGACAGAGCTCATCGACGCACTCGTATTGCGGTGGATGCTACCGCCAGATCATGCTAGACGGCAACCACAATGATGCCAGCTATCCTATTTTGCTTCGCCGGCTCGGTATGCCAACACTTTTCGGCGGTAGCGCCACCCGCGCGCTTACCTGCAACTGACCCGCCGCAACCGCCAATGGGATGCTAATGTCAGCCTAATGAAATACAGCCATCTTCCTGCCTCTGAAGCTTCAAAGCCACCTCCTCGCCTATGAAACCTGTAAAACTGGCTTGTCTGCTGAAGTAGTAGAAGCACCAGGAGATAATATTACCATCAGTGGCGCCGTCTGAAGGGTTAGATACCTTACTGTAGAATGAAAGCTTGGGTATCTACCTGCTGCATCGAGCAAGCTGTCACAGATCGACCCCTTCAACCGCTCAATTCATTCCAGCTTCCAGCCCTTTACAGAAACTCAACTACAAAAGTAACCTTGCCCCCACCCTTCACAAACCCCAAATAAGCTTCCAACTCATCGTCCTCATCAATCCCCCACCCACTGTCTCCCTCTGCCACGCCCTCAATCTTCCCCACTCTTGCCTTCCCCTGTAACCCGGACCCATTGAGAGCCAATGCGCGAAGACCGTTCACTGTATAAGGTGCTTGCAGCACACCCAGCCAGACTTTGGGGGCCGAGTTGAGGTATTTGAGCTGCGAGGTGGAGGAGGGACGGAAAAAGACTCGGACTGGAGGGTCGTTCTCAAGTTGAGCATGATTGTTGTTGAGATTTTGAGGGATGGAGCCGGCGGCTTCGAGGAGAGTAGGGTCAATTTGCATGCCGGTAAAGTCAGTGAAGTCGTTATATGGAGCGTGGGCGAGAGCTTGGGATGCGAAGGTTGTCATGTCATTTGCGGACGTTGAGGCCGGGTTGATGCCGTTTACAGGATGATTGGATAAAGCACCGGAGAGGAATGCTTGCACGGGAGAATCTGCTGCTTGGTCGGCTGGATTGATAGCGGGTGGTGGATTGTTCTTCTTCGTAGGAGTGGTGGAAGTGGAAGGTGGAGGTGGTCCCCTTCCTGGAAACGACGTTGCTGAAGTTTTGGCCAATCGCGTCGGATCTTTCTTTGTCTGAAAATCACGATGACGCTTCTGCACATCACTGGCAATAGACTCGAGAGACCTCAGCTTTGCCGGCAGATCCGGGTCTGCATCTCCACCCGCAATGATCTGCTGGAGCCTGGGCGATTCGGCTATCCACTTGTCTTTGAGCGCATCCCAGTGCTCCTTGGGCACTTCAAGCTTGCTGACAAAGTGATCGCCCTTGAGGATGGCGTCAAATGCAGATCGAATATCCCTTCCTTCTTGCGGCGTAACGCCTAGTATGTTCTTTGCATCAGTGATGGTGATTCGGGTGCCGACTGTACGGATTTTCTTCGTCACATCCATGCATATCAGATCTAACGCCATGGGTTTTTGTGTCAGGTTTAGATCCGCGGCATCCGTTCCCCAAAAAATAGGCTGCAAGTGTTCGAACTGGCTGATGAGCTGCTCCTTGACAGTCTTCCACGTCTCCGTGCCACAGAGAGTCTTCTTGATAACATTGTTGCTTCGGCAGATATCCTCAAAGATATTCCGCATTTCATGATACAGATTCCTGTCGAGTCCCAATTCAATCTTGCTCTCCTCCATAGTCAACTCTGACGGATATCGAGGAGGTTGTACAGGGTCTGGCGGTAGACCAGACCATACCTTCGTACGTCGACGTCGAGTCCCGGCTTTGAGACGCTCCTGGCTTTCTGCTAGTAGTCTGGCTTGCCGTGCTACGCGTTTCGCAATGACTTCTGGTGGCAGAATTGGTCCTGGAGACGGCGTTCGAGGCGGCTCTCCCGGAGACGCAGCAGGCTCGTCTTGCCCATTCCGATCAGCCAACTCCCCCAACGCATCTCTCTTGCGCTTCTGCCTCCTTTCACTTCCGTTCCCGTTCCGGTTGGGTTCTCGTAGCAGTAGATTGTGGTCCTTTCGTAGCTTGGTGAGCTCGCGCTCTTTGACATCCCATCCCTCACCCCGTAGGATTGCCAGCATCTGCTTGTTCGACGTGTTGGCCTCCCATAGCTCGCGGATCCTGGCAGCCAGATCCTCCCCTCGATGGGCAGGGTGGTGTTTGGCCGGAAAGCCCCATTCTTTGAAGCGGCATTGAAAGGCTCGTTTGCTGTGGCAGCGATCAGCATCAGCCTCGAGCTCGGATAAACATCGCTCTTCTGAGCCCCGCAAAGCACGCAGTACGGCTCGAGGATTCAATGAAGGGAGTAGCGAGAGGTTGCCGGACGATCTTGAATCGATGGTCGATATGGTCGACTGTACAGCACTCACCTGGGATTGAAACCCTGCTCGCGGTAGAACGCTTGTATCTCTTCCAACGCTTTGTTCTCAGAAATATACATGTTGAAGCAGGTATCTCTCTTTCCCTCCCAGTCGTACACCATCTTGCCAACTGCCGTATCTCCCGAATGTGGTGGTGTTACGATAATTGTATGGAGTGTGGATACGGCGAACGTACTCGGGATAGCGCCAAGCCTTGGCAAGATATAGGTCTTGGCAGTTGGCAACAAGTGTTGAGGAAGCCAGGTGAGTACTTTATTTTACCTGGAGCAGTCTACGATTCATTGTAGCCAAAATGCCTGGAGACTACTCTATGTTTGTGAAACTCAATATGTAGAACGGTGGTTCATGCATGAACCTGAGATATCGGTAATCTAGCAATGACCTGCACTGATTTCAAGATCTCAACTGCTTGAACCTCTATAAAACATGAATCATGACGAACCTGGTATCATATGCGGTGACCGCTGTGCCTTGATCCAACGCCGCCGCTAGAATAGAAGACACCGGAGTAGAAAGCCCCTTGCACCAAACGCATTCCATGCTCATCACAGTTACCCCCTGAGCGAAGAGACCTATTAATTGGACGACTTCGACATTTTCCTCTTCAACCTCAACCACACAGTCTTGAACCTGAACCAAAACAGTGTCCACTGACTATGCACCGCTTTGCCCGCCTTCCCTGCCGACTCGGCCGTATCCCCTCTCTTCCTTCCCATCGGCTGAGCTGCCACAGGAAACTCCTGCGGCAGTGTTTGCACCGAAGGAAAGCTTTCATGCGGCTCCCCTGAAATCAAAAAACTTGACTTCTCACTCGCAGCATTGCTCCGCGCTCGCTTCCTTTCTCTCTTTTCTGATGTCCTTCGCTCTTCTTCCTCCTTCCTCTCTTGTCGTCTTGCTTCCTTCTCCTGCGCCCGCGCTTCCGCTTGCTGGTACTTCAGGTCCTTTGCAGCTTCTCTCTCGTTGAACTCCTGACGCTTAATGTCCACTATTGCCTTCTGAGCCGCTGGGTCAACATCTGCAGGGTTCGAGCGACTGCGCATGCGGAAGGCGCTTTCGAGGGATGATCTCCCAGCTGGACCCACCATGTCTGATGGCGTGATGGAGTCGGTGTTAAACCGAAGTGAGGATGGCGTGCCTGGTAGGTTGGTTTGTGAAGAGCTTGTTAGGCGTGCGGCTGAGCCAGTGCGGATGTGAAGAGGTGTGGGTCGTCGTGATGAAGGTAGCGGGGCATATGGTGCCCCGGCGGTATGTGATGCTGAACGTGAGTTTGATTCGAAGTAAGGTGCTTCGACAGAAGTGTTGATCGAAGTGTTGGCAGTTGGCGCGTCGCTCTCCAGTGATGTTTTGTATGAGCTTGCTATGGGTGGTGTGTAGGATCGAGGAGTCTGTCGCATGGGGTGCACATATTGTGCGCCGTAGCGAGGGTTGCTTGATGTTGTTGTGGATGAGAGTTGTGAGGTCGCGCTTGTCGTGCGGTTATGGTATCCTCCTCTTCGACCGGACCCTGAATCTGGGGCTCCACTGATCTCTGATGATGTGTATATCCCTAGTCCCTCGTTTTCTGCTGCTGACCGAGACAAATCAATTGACACCTGCTCTCGCGAAGTAAATTTCCGCAAAAGGGGTTTTGTCTTCACTTTGCTGCTCTTGCGCTCTTTCGTCTCGGGCGTGGAGTATAGGTTTGCGTGCGCACTGGCAGGAACGACCGGGCTCGCGGTTTGCATTAGGTAGTCCGGGAGAAAGGTTGGAGAAGTAGGACTTTGTGTGGAAGCCGAATTTCCTTGTCGGTGAAGCTTGGCATGATTTGCCCTCGCGGCAGCTAAGGCGCCGTGACTGGGTGAAGATTTTATCTTTGGCAGCTTCGGCTTCTGGCTCCGCTTTGAAGGATTCTTCATCAAACGAGGTGGATTCATGGACTGCCCCACATCGTATGCTAATGATGATGGGTAGGAGCCATCTGCGGACGTCTTCCATGCCCGGTCGCCAGCCAGAGATGTTTGAGAGGACATGCTGCTCCCAATGTGCTGGTATGGCAGCGACTCGTCAAACGGCCTTGCCATGGTGGCTTCGAGGGATTCTTTGGCCCGTGATGTTAGGAAGGTGCGCGTGCGCGTTGGAATGGCCCTCGAGTCAATGCTATCGTCGCATCTTGTATGAGAGGCTATTGGAGGGATACAACAAGAGAGAAGGCTCTCAGCCTCTTCCACAAGTTGTAATAAGGTGTCACTATTCGTAGATGTTCGGTTGTTCACTTGTGAGTTGGTCTCCCTCAGGCGTGAAACACCTGAAGGCGGATAGGGGGAGCCGGAGAGTTTTAAGAGTTGGGTCAACTAAGGGAGGGGTAATTGTTGTTGTTATTATTATGTCACGATATAAAGTAAAGTAAGAAGGTTGATCTATAAAGGCCCGGGGATAGATATATCTATAAGGTGCTGGGAATAATAAGAATAATGTAATGTATACAAATGATATACCGTACTCTACTCATACTCGGCTGAAGGTGACTCCGCTTTCTGTTGTCAGGGTGTCAGGGATCTCATGAAAGCTGACTACGCCACACCGCCTCAGCCTCCCGCCCCGGGCCAGACCGAAAAAAGGTGGGTACATGCGAGAGAGAGAGAGAAAGAGAGAGAGAGAGATCTCCAACCACATCTGCATTAAACTATCTACACCGTACTCTCTCCGCCTTCCCCGTGCTGTGCGAGCGCAGCTGAGTTGTCTACGAAACGTGTGGGGCTTAGGCATCATTGCTGAAAGCCTTTCTTCATCCGTGCAGTGCAATTAATTGGGTGAAAAGTAAAACCTGTGTTTGAGGCTGATTCTTTTTTCCACCCTCAAACCTTTTCGACGGGCGCTCCGCGGATTTCTTCACCGCAAAGGCATGGTAGATTCGAATAATTGGCGTTAGACTAGAACGACGTGCAGCGCGATTGGATCTCACATGCTTTGTCTTCTCGGGGTAGATTAGAACGCAATGCGAGAGGCCTACATTTATTCAGGCTCAAAGTCTGTACGATTCAAAGTTCTGACAGCTCGCAAAAAAGTCTCCGCTGACTCCAATGTAAAGTTTGTACAAGATGGAGTGGCCAACAGCCCCGGCGCTAAAGCAAAGAGCCTCCAAACATTTACTGGTAAAGTATGTACAAGAAGAGAACGACATCTGGCCACAAGCCTCCAGGTAAAGGTCACCAAGGTCCCAACGGTAAATTACGTACAAGGAAGTAACAATGTTTGGACTCAACCCCCAAAAATATCAACGATCCTTGACCACGAACGTGGAAGATTGCCAACGGCGTTTGGCCTTCTTTGCCCAGATGACCTAGCCTAGGCGTCGCAGTCGTCTCCGTTCCCCTCTTCTTCGGCCCACTCCTGACGCTCGGGAGGCGTCCACTCGGCATGTTCCTTCTCTTCCTCGGCCGACTTCTGATGCTCGTGGGGATCCAGTGAGGATGAGCCGGAGCCGGCTTGGGCGGCTTGGGCGGCAGAGAGGCTTTCGATGCGACCGCGGGCGGTGGGCTGTGAACCACGACCGGGGAGATTGTCGTGGCGGGAGCGGCTGCTTTAGGGCTGGTGGTCGGCTTCTCGATTGGGGATTCCACGGGCGGCTTGCTGGCGACTGGGGCAGGTGGGGAAGAGGTGGGGGCTTTGGGTGAAGGTACGGGTGCGGCTGGAGAGGAGGCCGGAGCAGCCGGATCTTCCGACGAGCTCGGCAGGGCAGGTGACAACTTCCCAATCGACGCTGATGGTTGTCGGTAAGTGAGTTCGTTCATAGGCCAGGGAGTGGTTGATGTACGTCGGATTGTCAGCACCTTGCATCCAATCCCAGCGGAAACCGCAGCCGGGCTGTAGCGCACTTGGGAGTGAAGAGCAGGTATTGGATGATGGTCCGCCGTATCGTGCTCCCCAGACAGCGGAAGTGGTTTCCCATTCCGTCGAGCAGCCATCGTATTGTCCAAAGCCTCCTCCAGGGATCTGTCCTATCAGCCACTATCTGAGAGATTGAAGAGGGGATGGACACACAGCAAGATCAAATTGCGTACTGCTGACATCATCCCCAGTGTTAGTCGCCTGTACTATCATCTTCTTTCCGCTGAGGACGGTGCTCGTGAACGTAAGCTGGTAGCAAGAGCTACAGTTCGGGTTGCTGGCGCTCACGGCTGCGAAGCCGTAGGCTAGGTCGTCGTTGATGGACCAGGGTGACTGATCGCTGCACATGTAAGCAGTTCCTCCTGTGCATCCTGATTGGGCGCTGGCATCTGCCAAGGGGCTGTCGGAGATATCGCAGGTGTTGACCGCGGAGGTGATCCCTGACATGGACCAGGCGCAGGAGGGTTTGCAACAGTCCCTGGAAAATGAAGAATTAGGAAAGATGGGTGAAGGGTAGGGGTGGCTTACCAGTAGCGCGTTGTGGTGCCGGAGCCGGATTGGGTTACAGCTGGGTTGGCAAAGAGTACCAGAATAGCGAGAGTCGTTAGGGAAAATAAAAAGCACCGCAACACCATTGTACCAGCGCCATTAGGAATCGAACCTAATACGAATTAAATACTCCCAACCACCGTTAGGTAAGAAGTCATTGTGAAAATTTGTAGTAAGATGTACAGAGAATGTATAGATCGAATGTTAAAGCTCAAGTGGACAATATATGTACCGAGAAGCAGAGTAACGATTGTGGGACTCAACTAGGAATCGACTTATGAAAATAGTGACTGAAGCAACTCGCAGAGTGTGCCTTGGTGAAGGGAACAAAGCGAAGGAGATAATGGTACTTATCTTCTCTCCCCAATAACTGGAGGCCAGGGCCATCTATCTCAATCTCGGTTATAGCATGATCTTGTTAGAGCAAGAGGGAGGGGAAAGACGTGGTCGAGGCCCATTTAACGCTGGAGCCATGCTCGCCGTGCCGGCCTCAGATTTCAAAATCCATGTATGGCGACGCTAGGGAAATGTTTACCGCCCCTAATATCCACACCTGGGGAACAATCTGGCCGGCAAGGGCTGGGAAGAAGCCGAAGTTGAATGCCTAAAGGACTTTGCGGTCTCACGCTCTCCGTGCTAAAGAGAACCAAGAAAGCGTTGCTTTTTCTGGAGGTAAGGCTGGCAACCAAAGATGTCATCAGTCTTCGTTCCTGATGCCGTACTTGATGTTCGACGGACGACGCGCCTCTCCTCGCCCAGGTTCCGATTGGTCAGGAAAATCAGGCCGTAGGTAGTCCGCTGAGGGGTTGAGAAGACGGGAAGCTTGAAGGGTCAAGGTCATCGGCACGACTAGAAGTCAGAGACGTGACCCCTGGTAGAGCCTAGACTTACCTGTGAGGGAAACACGGGAAGTCCACAGGGAATGAAAAGGGTTCGAGGACATGCATGAAGGCGGGCGCCACCCTTCGAACCATCTTTCGATCCAGCATCATGATAGGATCATCTCCATAGGGCAAAGAGAACAAGGGTGGAGGTAGTGAAGATATCTCTTGGCAGATATCGCAAGCGAGATTGATAAAGAGATCTCAGGATCTTGCACTTGTTTCAACACCAACAAGACCCTCATTTGCTTCCCTCCTATTCGTGGAGCCGCCCCTCTTCTTCATCCGTAGCTGGGCTTCTCGGAAGGGTCACATATCATCATCGTCTGCGCTTCTCCCGCCGGAGATAGGGCGAACGTGGTCCGTCTGCGGTCGGCGTCGTGAAGATTTTGGGTCTTCTCCGATGCCGGCTCTACCAAGGCTGGGACGGTAGGCGATGCTCTCTTAACGGTGTTCATTTTCTCAACAACACTGGCCTCGTCAACCATACATTTCTGGCACAAGCTGGGTATTGACGGAAGGTAAAACGAAGGAAGCAAATCGGAAAAGGCAGCAGAGAAGCCACGGAATACTCGTATAGTTCTGCCGTACTCCGGCGCTACCGCTAGAGACGAAGGAATATTCTCTCTTTTCACCTTCAGCTTCTCTATCGACACGGCTATTCATCAGACACATAATCGAGAGGCATGGTTGCATTAGAGGTTGAAGCTGAAAGGTCTATATGTGACTTTGAGAGTCTTTCCATTATTGCTTTCTAAGCTACCACTACCATTGCCTCAATTGTAAGGCTCCCAGTGCCGACTCCTCATCACGGGAATATGCGGAAACAATCCCGGACAACTTGCCTCTCGGATGTCTTGAGCTATAAGCATGGGTACTCATCCAAGTACGAAGTCTCAACTCCACTCTCGATACAAGCATCGGTGCACCAGTCAATGAACTTCAATTCCAACTCATCCTGCGGGCCGCTGCGCATCAACGCATCTCGACAGTCTCGGGCGATCCTCCTCATGTCCTCATCCTTCTCCGGCCCCACGGTGAGGTTGATCCGAGCCTTGCCAAAATTGCGGAGTAGTTTGTTGAAGGATCAACTCGAGGCCTGTGAACGGTGGGATGAGTGAATCGCCCTTAAGTACCTCGGTGAGGTGAACGTCGAAAGACAAGCATATGGATGACAGAGGTCTATGATCTGGTATGTCAAACTTTCAGGGTTCGCCAAAGAAGAAGTCGCCGACCTGGGGACTTCTTTTTTGGGTAGGCACCAGAAGCCTCCTCCCTTAACAGCCAGATATGTTCCATTCTTATACAGTAAACTAACTTTGCCATCAGACCTATACTACACCACCGAAAAGATATCACCCCACCGCCAGCACCATCGACCACGAGATTGCTTGTGGATATCGTGCAATGATAACAGCTCGTGCAGAACCTCTCTTCTCCAGCTCCATCTAACACTTTCTCGCTGCATCGATGAGATGTCTTCGTAGCCTTATCCGGGTGGAATGCCATCACCCTCAAAGGAAAGTGAGTCGTAGGTCAGTCAGGTCCATCTCATGTCGGAGCCCCTGATGCATCATCGAATCCTGAAGCTTTTCCGCAACTGCCACCATTTCCGGATCATTTCCTGCTCCTGGGGTCAAGTTGATCTTGGCCCTGCCAACATGTGCGAGCAATTTCAATGGCTCCAATGCTTCTTCAAGCCCGCTGATGCGCGGCAGACCTCTGAGTTCGCGTCCTCGTGCTTGCCAGGATCTGAAATCGCGACCGGCCGCTCGCTCCCAAGGCTCAGCATCTAGGTCGTAGAAATCCCTTCTCTGGACGTCACTCCAAAATTCTATCTCTTCTTCCGTACGCTGGAATGGTCCATCGAGCACTTCCCCTCCGTATACGTGTTGAGGTGGGTTCGGCCTGCTGCCGTCTGCCATGCGATCTCCGTTCCTGAGTACAGGTTTGGGTCGATACTCTCGATCATACAAATCCACACGAACGTTCCTAAGACTGGGCTTGTTGCATAGAACCAAACAGAAGCCGAGCAGCGTATCGTAGAGGATTGGTTCCTCTTTCTTGAACCGTGTTGCCCAGAATTCAATCTGGACTTGCTTTGCCATGTGGAACGGAAAATGGCGCAACTCGCTGGGCACCGGGATGTTCCCCCACTTGTAGCACCATTCTGAAGAGCTGAGTAGACACTTTAGAAAGGTAAGTCCTCTAGCGGTTATCACTGCACGGAAGGCGCGGTTGTACATGACCGCAGTACCCTCAATATACAGCTGGTGACTGACTCGGAGGATAGCAGTGTGGCACTTTTCACCATCGTCCCGATATTGTACTACGGATGCAATGCGGTTGGTAATGACTTTGTCCGCCCCCATCCAAATATCATAACCATTGACAGGGTTGAAGCTGTCGTAGTAGCCGTCGAAGACTTTGATTTCGGAAAGATTGGGCAGGAGGTGCTCTAGGATCTTGATGCGGACCTCGAGCGGTACTCCCATCAGAAAGGACTTCAAGCCTGGTTCCATGATCGATGGGAGAAAGCCGGTTTTTTTGGCCTTGGAGATGGTATGAATCTTGACGGATGATACTTTCTGGGCGTGTTGACTGTGGTGTGATGAGAGTTCAAACGGTTGAAGGACGGTAGCACCAGCTTTACCCAAGGTTACAATAGTAAGCGTGGCGGATGAGGGTTAGTGGCTGATGGGAGCCGATTGGTCGGAGAAGTGGCAATTCCTAAAAGGAGACGTGTCGGAAGACATACAATAAGTGTTAAAGACTGCTCGCTATTGAAGATGATAAATTAGGCAGGCAGGCAGGCAGGCAGGCAGGCAGGCAGGCAGGCAAGTAAGCAAGGCGAAGGAGGAGCAATTGATGGCCACACTTATAAATGGAACAGATTTGCACCTCAGAGGGTGGGTTACCAGAGCTTCACTCATTCCCGCCTCGTTTGAAGTTGCCTCGATCTAATCTACCGTGAATAACACCAAAGCTTTAATAGGGAAAATGTACTGTAAGGGCCGGTCATTGAAGGCCGGGATGGGAAAATCATTGTCGCCCTTTGTCTCTAATCTAAAGGTGCCACTTGTCCAATCTGTTTCCTTCCGTCTATCCAAGCTGCAGGAGTTGGGCCTCTATGTATCTCACGAGGACATTTCCAGATGCAGAGACCAAGCCTGGCATCTTACATCCTTTTCGTGCCATTCATTCATCCATGCAACAGGTACGATTCAAATTCTTCCTCCACCAAAGCTCGCCTCGTTCTCCACTTCTCGCACCTCAGTCAAAAGCCTCCCCTTCTTTGATCGTGCGATTGTTGACCATCTGTCCAACATGGGTCGGCCAGAAATCCTGCCCTTTGCGACGGATAGCAACCCAAGCCTTGATGAATCTGAGAGCTTGTTCGGCTTGGACTGTGGACTTTGCAGTAATCACGTCTGTGAGAAGCTCAAGGTATTCTTCAAATGTGTTGAAGTATAGCTGCCCGGCAAACAGATGCAGCTCGCGCCGAAGTCTATGCGTCAGGCTCTGCCAGCCGACCACAGAAGGACATGTTCGGCCAGGCGGTGCGAGATCCACAGCACGCAGGGATTTCGTGACGCGGGGCTCGTAGATATGCAGCTTGACTTTTGCAGAATTCGCGTGAATTTCATCGAAGAGCTCGTTGACTTCGTACTGTGAGACTAGAAGCAAGTTGGCAGGCTGGGCATACTGCTTGCTCGTGAGAACCCAGTTCACAGGACGAAGATAGCTATCGTAGTAGCCAGACTGCGGGCGGTCCACCGTCCGGGCGAAATCCGTGGTCACTCTTAGATGACCAAACAGCTCGGCTGCGGTTGAATCTTTTGCTGATGTGTGACCGACAACGTCACGTGCTTGAGTAAACTGTTGGAAACTGAGATCGCTACCAGTGCGTACGAATTGTCGAAGCGAAATGTCCACCACACGTCTGACGGCCTTCACGCGGGGAGGGCGCTGTATCTGTGTCTCTTGTTCAACTTCATGGGCCACTTCTCGCTCATGCTCCTCGTGCATCGACGCGCCTGCTGAAATGGAGAGATCCACACTTCGCCACATCGCGAGCAGCTTTCGTACAGTGGGATCAAGATCCTTTTGGCTAGAATCTATGATAGATAGAACGCCGCTGGTCTTGAGGGACGCAGGAGCGTAAAGATCCGTGAGGCGCTGCTCTTCTTTCTCTCTGAATGCCGATATGAAGCCCTTCGTGGCATCTGTCTCGTCGGCTACGTCTTCAAGATCATCATATCTTTTACTGAAGTGAGCCATCGTTTTTTGCCGTTGATGATGACTCAAGCCTTGCAGCACGCGCAGCGGCTGGGAGCGCTCAATGTTTAAGCAGCTCTGCTCAAGACTCCAGGCGACAACATCGTAGCCATTAATATCGTTACCGTCCTTGCCAGTAGCACCTATGATGCTCTGGTGGACTTCGGGCGGCGCCACAAACATCAACGACTGGCCTTGACCAAGCTTGCGAAGCCGCATACACGCTATGAAACTGTTAGGCTAAATCGAAACACTCATGGTTGAAAACTTGCCTTGGACGAGCTTGTCTTTCGCCAGTCTTGGGCCTAGAGTCACGGCCGCACGAGTATTCGTCGGCAGCTTTAGATCGGTCCCTCTGGTATGTACTTCATCGAGATAAACAAGGCATCGATCCATACGGGCTTGAAACGAGGAGGCTGTGAGTGTTTCGAGGTTGTTATCTCGGTTCAGTACCATGACATTGTCGTTTTTGTCGAAGAAGATGCCCGCGTCAGCATTGGGGATCATGGTCATCCAAGTCCTGACCAGCTCTATGTTGGACACGTCCAGCACTTGCGCCCCAACGTCAATCAATACCCGCACATGGGGGTCGGCGTTGGTGATATCCTGGAGCAGTGCTTTGGTTGACACCTGCCGACCTTTCGAGTCTCTCGCACAGAAGTAGCGCAAATTCTCTTCTCGTACGACACAGTCCAGCACCTTTCCACTGGTATGCTGGAGATTCGGCAGATCTTGCTGTGTGATTGAAAGTGGAAGTAGGAAACGATTGTCGTTGGTCCCGCTGAAACCTGTGGTCAGATGCGGTCCTCCAACTTTAGCTGGCACATCCCAGCCAGATGTTGACAATTTCTCGTCAAACTCTTTGCCCTCTTTAGGGAAGACGACGTTGGCCAAGAAGTAGTCAGTAATCTTCTTACAGTGCCTCAAAGCCGGAAACAGTTCGTTGCTGCATTGATGGTCGTCCTCGAGGTTCACAGAGCTCCAGTCTTTTAGATGGCTTGGCAGATTGGTGCAGCGGTTGATCCACGCTCCGTACTCCAACGACGGATCGTCGGCCTTCGAAAGCAGCTCAAAGCACTGCCTGATCTGTGGCTCGGACAGACCAGTATAATAGTATGACAGGCAAGTCAGGGCTATCGCAACATCGGGGTGCCCAAACTCAGCGCTCGGAGCAGGAACATCTTTAGCGCGATAAGGAACAGCCGATAAACAACGTGTGGGGTGCAAGCCGTAGTTAACAGACCATCTCTTTTCCCGCAGCACGAACAGCAGGATCCTGTAAGCGATCAGACCTCGAGTCAAGAGGAGGTTTTGTAGGAATGACGCTCCGCCACCATAGAAGCCTTTGATCACATCGGAGTCCTCTTTCGAGACGCGTACGTTTTGGATGAAGTGTAGCACAGCCTCCTTCACCCGTGTCGGACATTGCTCGAAGCTCAAGGTAGGGAGGTGGCTTTCCAGCACGTCATCAGCCACCTTACTCATGAGTTTGTGGCCGATGGATTCCGAAAGTATTCTTATGGTGGGGAAGCTTGAACGCGTCCGATGGTTTATCTCTATGTGCCTATGGTTTGTCTTTTGAAGAATGATAGTGTGCTTCTCAATAAGGTCGAACATTGATTGTATTAAGAGCCAGCGGTCAGGCTGACCATCCATTAGTCTCTGAGAGCCCAGAGTGTAGATGAGCTGGAACTTGACATCGAGGATTTCATCGCTCTCATCTAAAAGATCTCGAGAGTTCGCCTCCAACCAGCTCTGTGATTGGAGGAGCGGGCCAGCAATCTCAAATTCTCCCGCCGTTAGTCGCTCGATCCCTATTAGCTTGAATGAGAGTATGTGTTCGGGCTGGGCAAGTAGAATGCCTTTGGAAGATTTACAAGTCTCCTGCAATACCTGGATTTGTCTAACCACCGCCGTGGTGATGTCAATCTTCCTGCTGAATGGCATATAATAGATGGCACGATCCAGTAAGCCCCCCAAACGCACGGTGAGGGTATCGCTCATTTGTTGAGCCAACGACTTGAGGACGATGACCCTTGACAGTCTACTGCCATTTGCGATTGCGACAGCAACAAGAGGGACGATCACAGAAGACTTTCCCTCTCCCTGTAATGACGTCAGCAGTTTGTTACACGCAAGAAACATAGGGAACTAGACCATGTTTAGCTGTGTGAGAGAGCTCATAGACGATGACGGGCTCAGCATCTCGAGTGCCACTTGTGCCTGATTTGGTCGGATGAGAAGGTCGTTCTCTATTTCAATCAAAAGCCACTCAGGCCAACGAGAGGCTTCCCATCCGACACGCCCGACGTTTTCCAGCTCAGCAGACAGAGTCGGTACATCGTTCCGTTCGCCAGCAAGTACAAGTCGCCGGGCACGCTGGAGGATTGTAATTGCCTCCCCTAGCGCAAGTAAGCGGGACTTCCAGCGCAAAGGTACTTTCAACACCGCGAAATTGGCTAAGATTGCAACGATGGAACGAATTGTGGGTCGCGGCCGAAGTCCCCCGGCCTCCAAGATCCGTGAAACTCGGTCCTTAGGGCCAAGGCTATCGCGTATGCGCTCGAACATATCGGACAAATACTCCTCACAACCTTGACGGTCTAGCAGAAGGTCTCTAAGCGAGCAGGGTAACGTGCCGGGAACGAGGCGCTCTTTGTGGTTACCAAATGCATCGAGGCTGGCTAGAAGCTCATCGCCGTACCGCTTGCGCATGGATGATTTTTTTCGTTCTGCGCCCAATGCTTTGACCAAGCTTTGGAGCTTTGGATTGGAGGTTGAAACTTGTGATATGCTTTCAATGGTTTTGACCTCACGCTTTTGGGACAGTGGGGGCGGCGCAGCCGACATGAGCATAGGCAACGTTGGTAGCAAAGGGGCAGCATCCAGTCTCAGATGGGCCTGCCACGTTTGCCAAACGTCAGCTCTGTACTGTTGAGTAGGTCGGTCTTCGTATATCCGATCCAGTATTGATTGAGCACGGCTTATATAATTCTGGAGCTCTCCATTCCTGGTCCAATGAGCGAAGAGAAGCTCAACCTCCAGACTTGCAGCATGTATATCCAGCAGACTTGCACTTGCTGCCCTAGGAGGCTGGGGTACACTGCGAGGCCATTGGTCACTGTAGTGTTCTAAAACACTATCGGTCTGGACCTGTTTTTCGTCGTCGTAGGTTTGCTCTTCCGCTCGTCGGTCAGATGCACTCATGTGACTGGATGAAGGCGAGAATTCTTTCATTTGTCGCTGGATAATGGGGCGCACTTCTGAAGAGAGGAAAGTGATGCCGTGAGTCAATGTAAACGACGGATGGGAAGGAGGGCTGCCAATTGCGCGCAGCTCCCGCGAGAAAGCGAATGCCAACAAGGTGGCCAACCGAGCAAGATCTGTAGTGTCGCGGCCATATGCTATCGTGGAAAAGAGAAAGAGCAATCGATAGGTGTCTTGTCGTTGCGAGCTGGATCGGCAAAGTTCCAGAAGGCTTGCCCACGAAGAAGCCCAAGAGACATCCAGCAATTCAGACAACGGCTTTGAAGACCCGAAGCGCGCCCCGAATCCAGATACTGTTCCCAGGGCTTGAAGGTCTTGCATCAGTCTCCTAGATACCTTGCATTTCTGGGGCCACTCTCTGACGAGTGATGCAATGCCATATGTCCTAGCTGCTCGCTCCCCCAATGGAATGCGATCGCGAGCTTGGTATGGGACGTCCCCTTGATTTTTGGCTACATTGCCACCAATTCTAGAGCCGAGAAAGCCAGAATTCCTGACCTTTGCACGATCCAAAAGGTCCTTGTCGCGACCAGCATACAGGTTGGAAGCTCCTTTGCTGTCTGGATAGAAAACGAGAAACCTATCTCCGGAAGCCAGAATCTGCTGGGCAAGCATTACGAAATCATCGTGCTGGGCCATCGTAGATAGCCGAGGGTTCCATTCGACTTGCTGCATCACTTTGAGATGCTTCGGGTAAAATTTACGGTCAGGCGTCAGCTCAGCGATCCATGTCAAAAGTCGAAGTATTTCCTCGTCCGCTGGTTTCGTCAAGCTTATGGACTGTTGTCGGAGACAAGCCAAAGCCTCTTCTGTTCCAGTGTTGCCAGTAAACGGATCAGGAAGCACGTATGATGTGACAGCATGAAGGTACGCTTTGTACAAAGTGCTCGTAATGTCTCCGGATCCTTGGAGACGCCGCAAGACCCCATCGATCTGATACCGGAACAGCCGGATTTTTCTGCCGCTAGTGTCCACTGTTACACTGACGTGGGAGCTGTTTTTTGAGATGGACACCTCCCCTTGAGGAATTACCAGGAGACGGTCATGTTTCCTAGCCAGCCGACCGATCTCGCAAAGGACCAGCCGGCTCTTAAGCCCAATCATAGTCTCGAGAGACTGGTCAGGATCCACGATACGACAAAGCTCATGACACTGGAAGTGGCCCTCTGTGTTCAAGAAAAATTGAAGATCAAATCTGGGAAAGTAGACATCAAGCCGCCCGTCAGAAGAGAGAAAAACATGGGTATTTTCCCAGGTTTCCAATGCTTCGAATACGTCCATTGTTCTCCTGAAGGTAGCACTTCGTACATCAACCAGCGAAATGTCGCCTTGGGAAAGATGTGAAACATTATTCGGTTGGTATCCCAGGCGCCAGTTCTTCTTTACGCTAGTCCAACGCTGTTCTAGCGGTCTGAATTCGATTTCGTGGGATGACAGATCGAGCCAGTGAACGTAATCATTGATGAATTTAGAAGGCATGTCACCCACGAAGACATCATGGGGCACATATTCCAAGATTTGCGAACCTTGACGGAGCTTGACCACGATTTTCCCTTCACGTACGGTAAAGTAGGCCAGATAGCCATGAATCTCCTGGGCTGTCATGTACAGCATTCCGCGCATGTCCGCGGCGAAGACGTTCAGAAGCTGAGGTCCAAAGACTCTTCGATATGTTCCGCTGCTAAGGTATTCCCGTGGAAGTCGACCCAGTGGTCTTCCATCCACCAACAACTCTCCGTCTAGAACATTGTAATGCACCGTTTGCGAGGCGCAACCGGAGGATGCTTTTGTTCGTGTTGTTACCCATCGCTCGTTTGGACCAGACAGAGCGTTCCAGCTGTTCGACGCAGATTGAAAGCTAGGCCAGACCTTCGATATTCCTTGGTCGAGGCCTTGATTGGTGTCTGTCATGACAAGGCCAAGAGCAATGCTGTGAAGGGCATGCGTCAGCTTTAGGTCGTGTAAGTACATGCGACGTGTGTACGGCGATAAAGATGTGGCGTCGCCCAGGACATTTTCTCGAACCAGCACGCAGCTGATGACCCACGTACTCAGATCGCTGTCGCTGTCCAACACTTGTGGGATGTAATGACTGTCAACGTCGTAGGTCAATTTGCAAAGCATGGCAGCCTTCAGCAGGCGGTGCTGGAGGTTCTGAATCTGAGCGTCTTTGGTAGCTTCGTGCAGAAGACTCCGCAATGCTCCCATCCACCGTTGAGTAATTCCGCGGATACGTCTCAACGTTTCCAGAGCCAGTGAGACGACGCTATTGTCTGGGGTAAGAGAAAGCGTCCGAAGTGTAACATTGACCAGAAGCATCATGAAATAGTCACTTTTCCAGTTTGCCTCCACAGTGTCCAAACTTACCCGGATCTTAGCCAAGAGCTCTTCGCAGAATGGCTGGTTGTCAAGAATGCGGTGCGAGATTCTGTGCACATTGTCCCCACTGGACCCTGCTTGATAAGCAGCGTGCAAAAACAATGTCGATACAGCTTCGGTATTAAAGCTTAAATTGGGGGCGCTCAGCTCGCGTTGAATATTGACCCATTGGGTTTGTTCACCGTCTGCGCGCAAGGACCCAAAGCTAATAAACTCATGGAGACTCAACGCAGGGGAGCAAATGTCCTGCTTTGCCAGAACATGGTTCTGTGCATGATCTGTTGAATCGACAGCAAATTGCAAGTTTGAGTAGGGACCATCGGGAAGCGGCTGGATACACTTATGCTCGAGGCTTGGCTTGTTGGACTGCTCTTTCACCCAACTCAACTGTGTTTTGTCTAGCATTTCGTACTGTAACGCATTGTTACTGTAGATCTCATCATAGCGAACGGGGAACCCGAGAGTGTAGTGTGTCTTCTCGAAGGACTTCACCCTCGATGCTAGTACCATACGTGACGACTTCTCTTGGCTGTAGCTCCGAAGCCCAGAGTAAGAATGCAAGGTATCGGCGTGGTTTTCACCACGATTCCACTGGGGCCTCCCAATGTCATGCGTCAGCATCCATGTAAGATTACGCCAAGCGACGAAACCTGCCGGACAGTCAAGCTCGAACACAGCGGACATGCAGGAATACTGGTCTGTAGGCAGCGGCCACTCGTATTTGGAAATTCTAGTATTTTTTGCTTGGCTTTTGAGATCGCATTTCTTGCAAGGCACACTGTGCACAATCCGACCGCTGATTTTCATGATGTATTGGCACTCAAGTGCCTCCACCTCGGAAATGAGCCGGCGATACCTATCCGAAGCTTCCACCCATTCCGACTTCTTGGCCGCCCTCATTTTTGAGGCTTCTGCTTCAATCCGCGCCCTCAAAGCCTGGTGTGGGGCGGAAATAGCATAGTACGCCACCGCAAAGGATCTGCTTCCGGGATCGGAGAAGATGGAGGGATTCTCTTGCCTCGCGTGGGCATGGCGGAATGTGATGTACTGCTCCACTTTGTGCAGACGCTGCATATGGCCCCGTTGGGGTAATAGCAGCGGGTAGAACAGGTCGTTAGAGACCACCGGAGAATACTGCTTGAGTAAGGGGAAGAGATTGATTGCCAAGCGGTCGACCGCATGCCAGAGCTCCGCAATAATGAGTAACATTATCGAAAGCTGCTCTGGTGCGTCGACGTAAGCTGTTTCCGATTTGCGCCAGTAGCTTTCTCCTAGAGTGGCAAGTGCCATGCAGTCCTCAGGAGCTGGGGGGCACGAGTCGAACTTTGCAACCCAGGGAGGAAGAGAAATCGTAACCCAGCTTTCAAACTCGGCCAGCACGAAGACAAGCTCTTCCCCCGCAGCACTGCTCGTATCAAGACTTGGAAGTCCTCGAGACCATCCCAGCCAAGGTTGACAATCTGGAGCAAAGGATTTTGCGGAGGCAGCTTTGTTTTGGCCATACGCCAATGTCGCGTCCAAGTATAGTCTACTCACACTCAAAGAGAGTGCTGTATCGCGGGCAAAAGATGATTTCTGGACTGTCGTTGGGCGGTCGGCGTCCAATCTCCGCACCTCGGCCCACTGCACGCTCTGTTGGGCCCTAACACGCCGGCAGGTATCCAAAGCCTCCTCCTGAACGAAGCCAAAGGTATGTGGACCTAGCTTATGCACACGACGAGCGATCTTGGCCAGAACGGCATGACACGTATCCACTGGCTCATCCATACGCACTGCCATGGACGCAATCTCTGACATCAGATATATCATGAAATTTTTATACTGGATGTTCCCCTCTTCTGTCAGTAATTCTCGGCACAATGTAGTCTGTATGGTGACCCGTATAGCAAGCCAAAGGGGCGATCGTCGCCAAGGCAGGAGAGCGTTGCTCCACAAAACGTCGTCTCTTGTTCGTTTAGTGATTCGCTGTGCTTGGACTGACTCTCCCACGGAAGCTAGGATGGCCATGAGCATGTCGCTTACAAGTCCTGGATGAGCAGTGTCTCGAATCTCCGCCATCTTAGAACCCGCCTTTCGAGATTGAGGCATCATTTCGTCGACAACCTCCATGTCTAGCTTGCTTAATGCAGCAGCCAATTCGTTGTGAAATCGAGGGTCACGGAAGGTCGAGACATGGACAGCACGGGCATGGGCGGGAAATGTGCAAAGTAGACTTCCTTTGCATCCCATGACGGCACCAGCAGAGGGAGAAGCCTCGAAGCATTCAAATATAACCGTTTCCTTGGTCCTTCGCAAGATGAGCATTGCATTCTGAGCTTTGATCGGTACGATGAGAACATCTGCGAAGATGAGATTAGCGAGAGAGGCAGCAAAGTTTGTGGCAGCTAGACACAAACACACCTTTTACTCTCAGCTCCACAAACAGACGCGTGAGAACATCCGCAGACAGAGTTTCTGTGGAGACCATGGTAGCACAACGCAAGAGCATGGTCTTGATGACATCCCCGGCCTTGTTGAATGCAGACATGGGGCCATGATTGTCTCGCCGGTATTGACGCCAATAGGCATCCAATTTCGATGAGAGGAGCCCGAGTAATTGTTGTTCAGCGGCACGAGAGGTCTTCGAATTGTCCGCTTCCTGGGGCAGTTTAGGTGGTAAGATGACATGGTTGATGATAAATTCTAAGGATTCTGCAGAATAGAGAGCCATGGCCGTGAGCTGTGCCAACACAACCGCCGGCCAAAGATCTACTGGTGGCTCAATGAATTTTGTAAAGTGGAAAGTGAGAAAAGCAGAAAGTGTAAGCTATGCCAGGTCGTATCAGAGACAGACTTCTTTGGCGAGAAGACGGTGACCGCTTTTTGAGCGACTGCGGACCGAGGTGAGGCACTGGCCCGATGAGGTCCGTCAAATTGTAATGCGAGTGAGCAGCAGTTGTAGCTGATGCCGGATCGCCATGAAAATGAGACTGTGTGTGATGCAACTGTAATGTGATAAGGAGGCAATCCAATGTGTGTAGAAGTAATGAAGTGGTCAGGCAAGGCCTAGAGTCCAACATAAAAACTTGGCTCTCCTTCACACCACAACTGACAATGCGCGGATTGATGCTCTCTGGTCAAAACTGTTCTCGACCACTGTACAAATAAAGCATTCCCAAGAGCTCTTTGTAAGTATTGTCGCAACCCGGCCGCTTGGGCCTGTGTCTCATGAGCAAACGCGTTTCCCTGTTCTTGATCAAGCATTAGATGGTGGAATCCTTGTCCGTTCCAGGGGCCCGTTCCAGGGCCTCATGTACAGACATGGCTGTGTAGGGCAGTTCTGTTGCTGGGTGGGAGCCTTCAAGCAGGGAGGAAAGAGAAGCCTTGTGCGGGGCCGCGGGCAACAGCAGATACGTACTTCCCAAACGCAGCCAAGCAAACCTACACCGCATCGAGACTGCATGTCCATGCCACACTCTGACACGGAAAAGTTGCCCGTTTCTCGGCTAGAAGAGCTCTGGTATCCTAACCAGGAGCCCGACGCAGGTATCCCCATCCTCATTGTCAGAAGCCGACCCCATCTAACGCACCCAGAGCCGTCCACACAACCGTATCCCTCCTGAATCACCAGCACACATGGTCTCTGTCACTCTCCTGCTCTATCCTTGTTCCAAACGACCATACCGCCGTGCCGACGCTTTTCCAAAGCCTTGCCCACGGCTTATACTCCACCTCTTATCCGATGCATCTTCCTCCGCCACCCCATCCCTGCCCCAAACCCACAGCCTTCAAGCATTATCTCTAGGCAGTACATATAACCATTTCTATATCCCATATACGCTCAGTCTGCTTCACATCAGACGCCATTGGAGGAGCGGAGGCATATGGAGTGTCTGATGGAGAGCAACTGATCGTTGTGGCTGTCTGGAGAAAGCTGGTTTTGTTGGGAAGAGAGGGTATTATTGGTTGTACGAATTGCTTGGGGATGATGCCGGCGAGGCGGATGAGGACGTGGTGGTGCGGTGGTATGGCTATCCATTAGTGAAGGGAATCGGAATGACTGAGGCGGAGAGGAGTTGAGGGGAAAGGATGGGAAGCCTGGATGGCAAGCTGTCGATGCAGAGAGAATTGGAGGTATCAGCACATAAGCATTCGCTGCGCATGACGGAAATTGCATATGAACGAGCGCAGACTTCCTCGTCGATGCTGCTTCTTTCAGAGTTCCGAGAACTGTTGACCCTCGTAACCTTCAAACGGCTGGTCTTGGCGCCAAGCTCATGCCAATTGACCAATCATGTCCAATCGAGCCTTCCACCCATTATTGCATAGGACACCTCTGTATAGAACCTTCATGTGCACGTGAGACTGATCAAGATTTGGGAAATTTCCCCTGAATTAGCAAATTAGGCATTAGAGCTATGGATATGTACATTAACCGTCGCATTATCAACGTGCAGGCTTTTGCTTGACATTCAACCACCGCTGCTATCCTCGTTTATGTAGTGTCACTTGTCTCGGCTCAGGAAAGAATGACCTCCGCCGGGCCAGCAAGAGTACCGAAGCTCGACAGCTGATCCTCCGTCAATGCATCAGCAGTGGGGAAGGTCGTAAGCACAGCAAACGCTGCTCCAGCTGCTCCCTCAGGGACAGGGATGGTAGCACAACCAGTACCGCAGCTTGTGACTTCGGTGTAGGTAACGTTCGTGACCATGTTGATCAAACCAATGTAGAGAGGTGTGCCAGGCGCCACCTCGACGAAGAATGTCGAGGGATCATAGATGAACTTGAGCAATGTTCCGGCAGGAGTCGGAGGCTGAAGGTTTGAAGGTGGCATGGGCGACTCGAGTGTCAGCTTGGGTAGGATAGGAAGAGGTAGCTGCTGTGGGCACTCGACGATGAACATCTGAGCGAGGTTGTACGCGAAAACGGCTGTCAGAGCGGTATCGAAGGACGTAGGGAATGGTGAGGCACCAACACCGGCTCGGAGGTATGAATCGTGGCGAGCTTCAACAGTGAGAATGCTGGCTGAAGCGACCTCTAGCATTGGGTCATCCGTGAGAAGTTCTGCGCCCCCAAGGTATGCACCGATGCCGACGGAGGTGATCATGTTGGCTAGGTCGACGAAGGAGGTGGGGGAGTCGTAGGGAAACTTGTAACTGCATGTTGGGACAGGGGTGTAGCCGGCTTTCTCGAGGATGGCGCTGATGGTAGCGGAGTGGGTTGCTTCATGCTGTCAGAGACTCTCGTTAGCACTGCTTCAGTAGATGGTATGGCATCGTAAGACAGCGTACCGAAGCAATCACGCCAACGTTCTCACGGAAGCCAGCGGGGAAGCCAGCTGCAGTGTACTCAGCATCCGTAAAGTTCTCATAACCACCGGTATACAAAGCGAGCTCGAGGTGTTCCAGGTACAGAGCTAATTGCAGGACGGACTCGTCGGTAGCACTGTCGACCGGTGGCAGCGTATTGACCCTCTTCTCGACTGGAGCGGCTACGGCCGAGGCCAGGAGACTCGCTAGGCAAGCAAAGGTGAGGCGCATGTTGGCGTTTGCGGTTTCAGTGGTTTAGGTATATCTCGGTGAATGGAGTTGCTAGGCGTTGAATGTTTAGAGACCGGTTCCTGCAGGAGGAGAGGGCAGTATATGAAGCTCTTGTTCCCCGCACTCGTTCCTTCCCCATGTTGGCCTCCGTCACTCTGCACGACCTTCGTTCCGCCCTCTTTTTCTCTCTTGAAGTTGACATCATGACATTTGTACGGCTAGGCAGGAGCGGGCAACGTGGTCTATTGTCCATTGCGAAAGTTTAGTGGTGGGCAAGTGCAGCTGGATCTCGTCCATCGCAAGGCTGCGTGCCACCAGGCTTCAATGGTTTGTCATAGCGTCGATGGCGTGGTGGAGCAAGGTATGCGATTCGCTGGAGAATGTCCGGATGTTGATGCTGCCGGATGCAAAAGCAGAAGGGAGTGCGGGGAAATGAACATTGTCTATCAAAAAGAACGGAAGTCACCACACTAGCGACGCACGCTAAAAATACATTTTGCCACCATCTCACGAGAACAACAATCTTGTCTGCGCCAGTAACTTAGGATCAATTCTGATGCCACATAGAGTGTTTTTATATGAAAAGACTGCATGTATAGCGAACTGGTTGTCGTTCGTTTTGGCCAGCTCGGCGGCTCCTCATTCTACCTGGAAAGCAGCTTCTCTTCGTTTTCGACGTACTCCACCACTTTGCCCGTGTGGAAGTCATTGGCTCTTACGCACTGATGATGTCAATGAGAACGAAAGATGTAAAACTATCTTTCTGGTTTGGCCATATGGAGGTGTCATGGGTACGTGGACAACCAGCTCGAACCGTAAATGGTATTCGTGCACGCAGCAAGGCGACCCGGATCGATGATGCAGCTCGGAATTGTACCACCACATCGACCATTTTAACAACAGGAGATCTGTTCCCTGTGACATGATCTTCGTTGATATTTTACACTGCTCTGCTCTTTCGATGGCCCTCATCTCTTCACTTTCGAGTGTACCTGCATTTTCGGTATGGATATCACCTAGTCACTCGATGACCACCGTCGAAGACCATGGACACCCACCAATTGCCTGTACAATGGAGACTCCCGTATTTCCAGGAGCTCTCTTACCCTGTTATCTCCTGATGTGACTAAGGAACGAATTCGTCAGCCAATCTGATTCTCTATCGTGATATCGCGGGAGTATCACACTCGAAGGTACACTCGAAGGTACACGCATGCAGCATGCAAGTGTTTGATCTTTGCCTGGTCACTTCCTCGCGCCACTCCTACTGTTGTTGGGGGTATTTAGTTCGTATTAGGTTCGATTCCTAATGGCCCTGGTACAATGGTGTTGCGGTGCTCTTTATTTTCTCCTACACCACTCGTACTCGCTTGCACATGCCGAGAATGATGCGAGTGCCGAATCTCAAAGAGTGCTAGTGGAGGATCCAAGCTTCTAAGATTGCGCCACTCCCGCCGCTTCCCGGTATGCCCACTTCTCAAGAGGGAGAATTGGGTATTTGGATGACATGGGAAGGGTGGTGAGGGCGATGGTTCAATGGCAAAGGTTCTCATGCTGCACGTGACATGAATCTGCGGTGATCTGCCCGATGCTTCCAATTCCGTTTGGTGGTTTATCTAGACGCAGCCACTGCAGCAGGCTAAGAGACTAAGATAGGATTCGTCCACCTATCAGAATTGCACTCTGCTCCTCGTGCTTTCTTATCTCTCTTCAAGAGGAGCATATCTGTATTTTCAAATGTCCCGGACTTGGAATTGGCACAGATATGCTGATGATATGTTGTTGATGGTGCCGATGAAGGATGGATATCTTCGGAAATCACACTCAGCTTTCCCATGTCGTCATCCGCTTTGACAGCTCCCCTGCGCCGTGCTCTGCTTTCTTAAGAGCTGCAGAAGCCTCCGGGCCTAGATCAATTTCCTGAAGAATCTGCCTGCATCGAAACGGATTTCTGATTTACGAGTACAACGATACATTGCCCTCACCTCTCAAAATGCAGCTCCTCAATTTCCTCCTCGCCTTCACTCTCTTCACCTTCGCCTACGCTATTCCCCAGTCACCAGTCGGTTCCAGCGGTAGCGGGGACGCTGGTGGCAGTGGCAACAACGGTCCCGGTGACGCCGTGGGCTCCGCAGCTGCCTCGTCTAGAGCAACGCGTAAGCAGCTTTCTCCAGCTTTCGTTGATCATAAGTTCGAAGAAACAGCTGCTGATACTGATGTCTGAACAGAGCCAACGGGATCAAGCACTAGCTCCAAGACCAGCACCGCCACCTCAAGTTCCGCCAGTACTGCTGCGACCAAAAAAGCTGCTGCCGCCATGCTCTCGCCGGATTGGGCCGTTGCTGGCGGACTGGCTGCCATTGTTGGAGGAGCTGCGATGCTATAACGGTGGAAACCCTGAGCCGTGGGAATATGGTACAATAGAAGGGTTGACATTGCAATACTGTTTTTGGGGGAAGGGTTTTGGCACTAGACGAGCATGACAGTGGTGGGATGCGGACTGTACGAGTACATGTTCTGTAACGAGATAAGGGTCTATAGAACGTCTGATCTACAAGCTGTCCTCTCCTCATCGTCTTTTCCTCGACCCGCGAGCCCCGGAGCCGGCACGCTGTTCATTATTGCCACCGGCGTAGATTGGGCAGAAGAGAAGAGAGCGTGGGCTCGGAAAGTGAGAAGCGCGACTGTACTGCTCTAGAGCCGCTCCGCATGAGGCGTCAAGTTTTCTCGTCGTCTGAAGCGCGACCTCCCAAAGACGGAGTCCCCGTCCGACGGGGACTTCCTCTCTATAACTGTAGTGTGGCATGGCTGATGCCTCGATGACATACACTGAGATTTAGCTGGCAGTCGGAGGACGAGGCTTCATGTACTTGAGACTTGGGTTTCTATGACAGACCGTGTACGGAGGTTGACAAAACGTAGAGTCCCGCAAGGCGCTAGCACCAGCCCTAGCCCTACTATCGGAAGGCAGCCCTATAGTGGAACACCCTGGAATTCATTCCCGGGAGTGTACATAGGGGCGTCTTTTGGGCCGATAGGGGGACCATGGACCTGAGCGGGCCTCGGGGTAGGTGCCTTTCCGACACAGTTCCGAGCGCATTGTAAGAGGCGATATCCGACACCTGGACCTTTTCCTCGGCCATGTGCAGGACTCAACCTCCGTAAAGCGGGAGGGATGGCAAGCAGCTCCACTCACTCAGATGATGGTATCGCATTCAATGACTCGGGGAAAGCGCGCACGTGATTGCTTTCGCAAGGGTAGCGATTTGCAGCAGTCACGTCGATATGTTTAATGCTACTGGGTCCCATAGCGGGTACTGTATCCGGAACGCCGTGGCAGGAACTACTTACATTTATCAGTCAAGGACATCCTCATCCTTAGGTATCCTCATCCTCAATCATCGACATTATCACAGACCCAAGCCTCGTCTTTCGACGCCCGTATACTCTACCTGAAGTCGATGCATCTGAGGACTGATCTGAATCCCCTTCCATAGCCCGCAAGGTCTCGATCTCGAGTGTGGCTCGTACCGAGACGACACATACATGCCCTGGGCATCTTCTCTTCCAGGGTCCGTGGTCGTGCCCCCTTGACTGTTCTCGCTGTGATCCTGGCCGTATGAGCCGGGCAAGTTACCGAATCATACCCCTACACCAAATCACACCAAAAAATGGGGTATGATTCGGTAATTCGCCATTGCTTAGGATATAATTTGATAAGGGTCTTGAATAATAGCTTCTTGATACGAGACGGTCTGATGAAGATAGCGATAGCGGTAGGCTTAATCTTACTAAACGTCTGATAGTAGTCGTCAACTTGATTATTGATGACGGTGGTATTGTTAGGAATTATTCCTTTGGGGGCCCTGCGGGGTCTTATGAAGGGCCCTACGGGGCCCGATATAGGCCCGAATAGGGGTGTCTGCAGCGTGAAGTGCGGACATCCCCGGGCTCGAAATTTCGCCCACTCGGCTTTCGTCTGATGTTTTTAGGCTGATAGAATTCTCATCAAATGCGGTCGGAGAAACTCCCTTATTTCTATGATCGAATAGGCCAGATCGCGGATTATCTCCTTCGTAGTTTGAGGCCACTTTGACAACTTACCGAATCATACCCCAAGCAATGGCAAATTACCGAATCATACCCCATATTTGGGTGAAATTGGGTGTAGGGGTATGATTCGGTAAGGATCCATACTTTTGGGGTATGAATTAGTAATTCGCCCCGTATGAGCCAGCGATGATTGGTAGTGTCTTTCAATTGTAGCCTGTTCGAAGTTCCATAGAGAGGGTGAAGATGCGGTGGACCTCGACGTCTAAATGTTGTCCGATCCGATAGGCCCGGTCCATTGCTTGAGCGTCTCGCTGTGGGTTCCAAGGCGGGCTCAACATGATCACAATGTTCGCCTTCACCAGATTCGACCCCACTCTACCAGCCCCAACGGTGAGGATCGATCCATTGACGCCATCGGGGAAATACTCTGCTTGGGCTTCATCCCTCTGATTAGGTGAGAGCTCACCATGGAAAGGGGAAAAGTTGTATCCGCGAGAACTGCGCTGCAAATGCTTCGTCCATTCCGTGAAGATCAGGACCTTTGCTTCAGGGTCTTGTCCGTAGATCCGGTCCAAGAGACTGAGTAGCACCCTGGTCTTCGCCGGTAGCACATGGTCTTTCTCCACCGACCGGCAAAGTTGCTCCAGTTCTCTGGATATGGTGTACTGTGCGTCTGTGTTCTCTTGAGGGTTCTCATCATCTTCATCTGCTTCGTTCTTGATGATCTGCTTCTCGACTCTGGCTTTTGATGCATCCAAAAGCAAACCTGGAGCACAGCATGCTTGCCTCAAACGTAAGAAATTATCCGAGATGTGGACGAGCTGACCAGTTGGTGCTTTGCCGGACTTCAACATTGATCCCAACTTCATCTTGGCCATGTTGTGGGTGGCTTGGTATATTCTCTGTTCCAGCTCCGAGAGTTTCGCCAAGTATTTACAAATTGTCTTCTTCCTGAGAGAGACGATCGATACGCCATTGATCGTCATTGTCTTGTCGCGACGCAAGAGTACACGAGCCTCCTTGTAGGCACGTATCTGTAAAGAAATGTTCGCGGGTGTTGTCATGACAACGTCGTAGCTTCTGAGTTGATCGACGGTAGGATCAGTTGGTTTCATGCCCTCCTGCCCATGTAGCAGCCGCTGCATCCTCGATCTCTTCATCTTCATCCTCCGAAGAAGGAGGGGGAGGGCCATGCCCATTGAGCGAGTCGCCGCACGAGGGAGGCGGGGGCGAGCCGGAGGGCGTACGGGCAGAAGACGCGCCCGAAACGTGCTCGTCTCCCGAACCCCCGTCGTTGTCGGTGCTGGAGCTGCTGGTAGCCTCACCCGAGCCTACGCTGGGTGACGCAGGAGGACCAGGAGGCGGACGGTTGAGAGAGGGAAGGCCAGCCTAAAAGCATGGTTAGCGTGTATGTCATGTCTATCACCGTAGCCATTGAGTGAGAATGCGTGTCAGGGTTGTGGACCTTGTTCGTTTCGTTGAACCGATTCCGGAGCACTTGGCAAGGGACAACAACCAGCACCTGGCGAGCGCCGTTGGGTCTGTTTGGAAGTGCGGCAGCAGTGGCGAGAGCTTGGAGTGTTTTGCCGAGACCCATGTCGTTGGCGAGGATTTTTCCTACAGGATTGGGTAGGCTCAACCATTGCAAGCCTTGGAGCTGATAGTCATGGGGCCGGGCTCTCATCTCGAGCGGCTTTGCTCCTTGGGGACCGTACCCTTTGGGAGTCATGAATTTGGCATTCACGACACAGGACCTTTGAATGTCTTCAGTCTGTATCAGCGTCAGCAGTGGGACACTTGAAACGCGGCCTGTGAGTTATTATACATAGTCCTCGAGGCTCACTTTGCTGGCCAATGGCGCCCGTCCACATATAGCACAAGGTATATGGTTCTGTAAAAAGAGAATCAGCCTTTTCTGAGACCTCTAAAACAAGATGTCTAGAGGAAAGAGAACGATGATTATATAGTTAAAAAGGAGGTGAAAGTCGAGGATGAAGCTGCCTATTGTAGTTGGCTGATCACTCTGTGCGGTGAACTCAACTGGTGAAGCTTATTGGTGAAGTTGATCAGTGAAGCTGGCCAAATCGGTCAGAAGCCGGCTTTCGAAGACTTTCAGGGTACTCACTCTCTTCACTACGCGGTGAAGATTGACAGCGAAGTAACTAGCGAGACTGAGAAGAATTAGCATCAAAATTTTCTTTTACTTTCTTATAGTTGACTTACATATCCTTTGGCAAATGCGCTAGATCAACGAATCACGTATCGTCTGGTGGCGAAGTCCTTCCTCAATGTTATTCGAGAGGAGAGGTGTAGAGGAGTAGAATACATCATGATAGTGCGATGTAGAGACGTGGAAATGTAGTAAAGGTGATTGGTGTGTGTAAGAGACAGTTAGTGATCTATTTCGAAGGATAGTATAAAAAGGATGATGTAGGAAGGATATTTTGGGAAGGATGGAAGTTAGAAGAGGGAGGGGATTTAAATAGTTTAAGAAGTGAAGAGGTGAACTTTATAGATAGATGTGAAAAGATTAAGATGTGAATGTGTAGAGATGAATTTTGAGAGATGAATGTTCGAGAAATGAATACTGGAGATATGAAGGTTGAAGGGATGAATGTTCGAGAGATGAATGTTAAAGAGGTAAATGTTAGAGAGATAAATATTAGAGAGATAAATATTAGAGAGATGAATATTAGAGAGATAAATGTTAGAGAGATAAATATTAGAGAGATAAATATTAGAGAGATAAATATTAGAGAGATAAATGTTAGAGAGACAAGTGCTTGAGAGATAAATGCTTGAGAGACAGATATTTAAGAAAGTTGAATATAAGATATGTGTAGAGGAGGTGAGTGGTTAATTAAGTGGGTGGCACAAGTAAGCTTCACCTCCAAATCTTCCCAAGTACTATCGAGCTTATCTATCAAATAAGCGAGCAAGATATGAAATCATAGTAGAGGCTCGTAACTTTCTGCGGAGAGAGAATTGTTTGGGGAAGGAAGAGGTTGAAACATACCAAGATACCTACAGATAAAGGACTGGTGAAGAAGTGGACCGTACATCATGTGAACTCACAGAGATAAATGTGCGAAACTATCAATTCGGGACAAGTTACTGCGGAAGGAATGAATCTGGAAGTGACGCATGAGGTGGTTCTTTTGGATGTTCTCCCCATCCCAAAGACTATTTCACTTCATGAGATTTCTGGGAAATCAATTGCATGTGAACTGACTTACCTCTTTCACGTCCCCTTTTAGCACTAGTTCCAGCGGCATTAGCTATGACATTCAGATCTAGCAGACCAGCGCGCTTGCGTCTCATAGAGCGTCAAGTTGACGTCTGATATACTATGGCTTCGCCAGTAGTAACATTATATCTGGGAGGCCACTGTGTATTCCACAAGTTCACGCACTAGGTGGAAAGCATTAGTCTTCATCGTCTTTGATGTCTTCTCGAAGAGTGTTTCACATACCGCCGCTCCGCCAACCATCAAGTAACAAGTTCCCGCGTGCAGCGTACTACCGCTGTGAGGGTTCGCGGAGTCCGGATTCGTGGTCTGCAGGTACGTTCCGCACGCCTGTGGGATCTCCCCCGGGTTCGGCGCACGGCCGCCGGCGGGATAGGGATTGCTCCAGTCGAGTCGCTCCTCGGACGAGAGTGCTCGGCTGAGCGTGTACGATTGCGTGGTGAAGGGTGTAGGCCACATGAAACCATAAGAGAAGCTATGGTTCTGCGGGCTGTGGCCGCAGGCGGTATCGCTGAAGACGGTGATGTTGACGCCTGCCCGTATTGAGGGTCCTGGTGTTGGAGATGATGCGATGAGGACACCGGCACTCAGGGCATAGATGATAAACAGGGTAAAGGTGATTGGAGACATGATAAATGTAGCAATATTCAAGTGGCGTTGGAGCTGAGATACTGGCTAGATATTCGGCACGGCCGATCGTAAGAAGCGGAGGTAGGAAAGAAGATGGCGAAATATGATTAGTTAAGTGGCTTATTTTTGTGGTAGGTAGGTGTTTCTCGAAGGAGAATTTCTTTGGACATGGAGTTGGAGATAGTAGGGACTTTAAGAGTGACCTCACAGAGCGACTCAAGATGTAAACAGCGGCACGTCGACCCTGTAGGTTGGCTTTGTTGCGGACAACCCTCAGATCTCCGTCAAAAGAAAATTGTTCCTCAGTGAGGGCCGCCATAGGGCCAGCTGAAGGGACAGTGATTCTGTCAATGCGACGAAATTTCTGGCGTTTATTGTCAAAAAAGAGTCCTTTGTGGAGAGGTAATCACCCGATGTGTCAATTGTGCCTTAGGAAAGCCCATACAAAGAGTGCTCTTTGTCAAAATTCCTGCGTAATTCTTTCAAAAGGAAAGAAAAGATCCATCCAGTTTTCTGTTGTTCTTAGCGTGCATAAGAAATAGACGCTGGTTGTTGATCGCCTCAACGTCGTAAGGTACAGGGTGATTTGAGATTGATTCATCAACTCAGGAAACATGTCATAGAATTGGTTGTACAACCAAGGGACTACATCGCGATTCACCTGTGTGTCTCCTAGAACAGCCCGTAGCATGCAGAGCAAGTAGTATTATCGATACAAAGCATTCTGCGCAACGCCGTATCTTTAGAGCCTAAATGGCCGCTGTAGACGACTTCGACATAAGAGAAGGGAACGAAAGTCATGCTTAGTATTCGTAAAATTAAATACTAACATGAGACGGCTCTCTTTGTTTCATTTGCGCCCCATTTATATGGGTCTCCGCCTGAACGAATCGGCTCTTTCTATCAAAGCATGTCAGATATAAAAGATCAACCGTCCGAGGTGAAATGACGGATTTCCAAGGAAGGTCTCGTCAATGGGGACCATCTTTTCTAGCACCGCGCCTGAACTGTAGTATTTCAACACTCAATCGCCTTGCAGATCGACGAGTTCTAAAAAGAAAGTTCCAAATCAGGGTCACTTTCTTCTGGCACCGAGCCTGGACTGTAGACTTCATTCAGCATTTTCACTCCTATGTATGACTTTTGCTACATTCTCTTACAAAATGTAACGAGTCTGACAAGCTCGCTTTACCTTGATATAACGCAAACACCGATTTACGAAGGCTAGCATCGAAGGTTCATCAACGATCCTTGTTCTCATGAATCCATAATGCCTGCCCTGCCTCCACTAGCTGGCACGTGATTTCCATTGACCCACCTCGCCTCGTCGCTTGCTAGAAAGCCTACAATTCCCGCCACGTCTTCCGGCGTTCCAGTTCTTTTCTCCGCAGTCGAGCCCTGCGCCACGCTCGCAGCGAGCTTCTCATCCCCCTTGAGCGTCTGCGCCAGCAGATCAGTCTCAGTGGGGCCAGGGCTAACGCTGTTGATCGTGATCTTCTTTTCTGCAGCGTACTTGACCGCTAGGCTGCGCGTGATACTGTCAAGAGCAGCTTTCGACATGCCGTATGCCATCACTGGGTCGAGGTTTGGTCGCTTGGAGGATGTGGAGGATATGTTGATGATGCGACCGCCGGGACGGATGTGTGGAAGTGCGGCGCGGATTAGCTGGATGGTCCCCCAGCCGTTGCCTCGCATCATTCTCTCGAAACCTTCGTAGGTCATCTCCTCGAAGGGTTCCTGGTATCTCATGTCGGATATCGCGGCGTTGTTGATGACAATGTCGAGGTGGGGTGTCTTGAGATCGGAAAGGGCAGCTTTGACAACGTCTTCGCCGAAAGTGGGGGATAACAAGTCGGCTTTGATAGCGATGCAGGTGGTTTGGGGACTCGTTGCTCTGATTTTGGCTAGAGTGTTCTCGGCGGCAGGAAGGTTGCCCATGTAGGTGATGGCGATTGCGGCAGCTCCCTTTCGAGCGAGCTCGATGGCGATGGCTGCACCAATACCGCGAGAAGCCCCTGTGATAATGGCGACTTTGCCAATGAGGGGCGCAGGAATCGTGGTTGCCATTGTGAGGCCGGTTCTCGCGTAGTAGGTCTTATTTCGTGAGTCTTGGAAGCTGGAACACGGTGTGGGGCCGCTGAGATAGCAACTTCAAAGATTCAATATGATTGAAAAGCAAGAGCAAAGCTGTTCGATGTCTTATTGAAGATGAGAAACAGCCGTTTGTACAAGAGTGCGATGGACTCGGGCGTAGGAGCCAAGATGCTTACGAGTAAAGCCGACTGATTTGAGATGAGATGATTTCGTGTGTTAGGGTCGCAGGGTAGAAGCTGAGGAGTGGGAAGGTCTCGTAGGAAACAGACAAAGAGGCAATGATCTATCTACAACTCTCATCAATGAACAAGTATTAGGTTGCATTTATGGCAACGACCAATATTAATGCCCCCAGTCCGTTACTGCGGCTTCTGATGCGGGCTTCGGCTGCGCTAAACCTGTTAGAAGTTTGGCGTACGTAGAAATACTAATGAGTTGACCGTCTCACTTCGCGCACTGGTCGGTCCTTCATTCCAGCTTAGTCTCCGTACTCAGACTCTATTCGGAAGGGTTGGTAGTGGTGGGTCGGAAAACCCTTTTTTCCGGGCCGAAATTTCGTCATACCCTTCCCTTAGGGCCCGTTTGGCTACCACCTAAAATCCACATTTTCATACATTTCAACCCAACCACACTAATTTCAAAAATGTAGGCTTCAAAACGAGGCTAGTAGATTTTCAATATATATAGATTATATATACGGTTCCATTTGGTAGTCACATTTCGGCTGATTCAGCTGGACGCTAAAAAGTTGCCAAGACCTTTCTCCGCAGCAAAATTCGTACAGTAGATATCTACCAGTCTTCAACATGGATAGTCTACCACCTCTATCACCTCTTGCTAATATAGTTACTATGGCAAAAGCTCTTAGTAATCCTCCCATCAATTATGAAGCATCAGAAGAGGTACCAGCCCAAGCTGACACGAATCATCGATCATAGCCATGATATATGTAACTATTTATGATAATTATGGCCTTGGATCCAGCGATGTAGCCCACCTGTAGCGTACATTTTGGATGAAAACTTGCCCTACCCCAAGTTTTGAGAAATGTGAAATAACCCCTGTACATTTTATATACATTTCATGCTTTGTAAGCATTCAGGACGAAAATGTGGTTATCAAACAGAGTACTGAATTGTATAAGACGAAAATGTTGAAAATATTCTTGAAAATGTGGATTTTAGGTGGTAGCCAAACGGGCCCTTAGAGTCTGAGTAGGAAACCCTGGAATCGCTACATTGATCGTTATTTTGTATGGGATCCTCACCAAAATTGACCGAAATAGAAAATAAGTAGTTTCTTTTATATATAACTTTTTACTACGCACTCTAATAAAAGAATAATTCTCTATAAAATAACTATTTAAATATCGTAGAATTAGAATTTTTTTTTCGATTTTCAATAAAATATCTTAATCAATTATTTTTAGAGGATTTAAATTAGAGTTTTAAAAACTATACTTTTAACCCCCCTCTTATTCTTTAACGTGCACCGAGAAAACCTCAAAAATAATCTTTAAATATTCGTTATATTTATAAGTTTATTTAAGAATATTATTATAGAATAAGCCAGGCCAGTTTTTATAAATTTATATTTATTAAATATTTATATAAAATTTATTTATCTAAGCTATTATCTTAACTAATTTATTAATTATTTTATAATTTTAAATTAATATTTTATAATTTATAGATATAAGTAAAGATATATTAAGTTTTATTGATATTATTTTTTAATTTATTTAATTATTATATTGTTTTAAGATCTTTAGTTTTTTTTTTTTAAAAAGCTTTAATAACTTTAAAGACTTCGAACTTTAAGTTTACAAAATTTGATATATTATTATTATATATATTAAGAATATATTTATAAATTTTTATAAAAAGTAATGGTTCGGTTATCGAGTAATAATATATCGAAGTTATAGACTATAAAGTTTCTTTAAAATAGTTTCGGGGTAGCTTCGAGGTAGCTCTCTTCGGGTTAAAGCTACCCCGAAATTTAAGATATTTTAAATAAAAAAACTAAAAAACTTAATAACTTTACAAATTTCGAACTTCAGCTTTAGAAAAATTAATATATTAATATTATATATATTAAGAATATTTAAATAAATTTTTATAAAAAGTGATGGTTCGGTTATTAAGTAATAATATATTAAAGTAAAATAGCTTCGGGGTAGCTCGCTCCGGGTCAAACCTACCTCGAAACCTACCAATGCTAATAGGGAGTTTCAGACCACTTTTTTTAGGTGTGGATTTTTCAGATCGTGGGAATTTCAGCGATTTGCCACCAACCGTTGGTGGCAAATCGCTCATTTTCCCACGATCTGAAAAATCCACGCCATCCACCAATGCTACCCTGGGGTAGCATTGGTGAAGAAAATCGGCCTCTTTAGTGGATTTCTCGTGTCGATATTCTATATCTCTTAGCAAATCTATCCAATTAGAAGGCCTTCCTTCTTACCACTACTACTATTACCTTCCATTACTACTATTACCTCCCATTACTATCACCTCCCACACGTCTACGTCTTTCCTACCGTCGTTCCTACCGTCGTTCCTACCACGCCGTCGCGGACCCCCCCCCCTCAATGGCGCGAAAGAAAGCCCCTACGGATAAGTTAGGGTTAGGGTTAACCCCTAAGGATTAGATACGGGGAAGATTACACGGTTTTCTCGGGCAATGACTAAGCGGATTTATCACAAATCCACCAAAGAAGCCTATTTGGTAGTGGGGGTGTTCAGACCAATTCAGACCAATCCATTTTGTCACAGCTGAAAGTCTGAATATTCCACGATTCCACAGCAAAAAAAAAAGTGGTCTGAAACCCCCTAATATATACCCAGGGGTGAATATCTCATATCAGCCAAACCACCAAAAAAATGAGGCTTGGCAGGGTTTCCTACTCAGACCCACTGCGTGGGGCCTTTCTGAGACTATTCCAGCTTGAGGGCAAGACAAAGCATTGCAGTCACGCGCTTGCCAACTATGAGGGCTAGCTCTTTCATCTAAGCTACTCACATGGCCTTCGACTTCGTGGTGGTGACCGATGCTTGGTCTTGGTATGGCTATTGTTTGCGACATGAAGAGGTTGCCGAGGAGTTGTCAACTGTAATACTGAAAAACCTGTGGGTTAACATTCTGTAGGAAATCCTGTCTATGCCACAAGTTCTTCGTTCGGTGCTCTCTGGCGTGTGAATATCTGGATCTGGCAGGATCCTCCAGAAGCCATATGATCGGATCTCAGCGGAGAAGACACAATGTGTTTGGATACGACGAAAGGAAGAAGGTTAAAGGGAAGCTTTGCGTCTCGATGCTTTCTTTCTTTTCGGGAGTCAGATTTAAGAAGAAAAAAGCCGTGCAGGACTCCAGTAAACTTGCTTCTGGCCAGGCTGGTTCTTCGGTGACTCCGCCACGTGGCTTATTGATGGGACTGGTGTGCCTGATAGGCTTTGAGATCATTGACGGGAGCAGTGGCTCTCCCACGCCCCTCGTAATCTACTGCCAGCCAAAAATATCATCTGGCGCGCTTCTAGCGCTTCAAAGAGCCATGTATCTTCAAAACACGGCCAGCGGGCGGCAATCGCAAGTACCAGATCTGATGCAGGAACAAGCACATGACACACCCCACGATAACTTTCCGTTCATAGACTGAGCGATCTCGAACAATCATCGCCTCCCGAGACGAGTTAACCCTTGAAGTATTCGTGGGTCTCTACGCTGCGTGAAAGGAAGTTCGCCTTGTGCTCTCTGCCGCCTTGAATCATTTCTATATTGTCAGACGGGCCACGGCCAGAACGGCACGGCTCTCTGTTCGTTTGGGGCTTATCCGTTGAACCGAATAATACAAAAATTGCTGTCTCGGAGTTACGCGTCATGCGTCTCGGGCCCATATATTTTGTTTCGTCCCCTCCGACGACTCCCCAATCCTTTTCTTCCACTCATCTCATGTTCTTAGTGCACTCACCAGCGTCATCAATCGTTCAGTGCAAGCAAATTCGCACAGCCACACTCACAAGATGAATACCATTCTCTACCTTTTTCTAGCAGCAATCATCAATGCCAAGGCACAGACAGCTTTTTCAGCAACTAACGGCCTTCCTTCTCCTCCAGCGAGTGTGGTACCATCGGCACCAGCGCCCCTTGGAAACACGGCACTTTGGGAACAAGCGATTACATTAGATTCTGCGAACAACATCACCGGCAATCATGCTAACCAATACTTCTACTCGTCGGTCGCATGGTGGCAGTCTCTCGAGAACAGCAGCAACAGCTATTTCTCGGGATCGCCGAGCTCTGTTGACGCAGGACCACACTTTTCTCAACTCCTACAGATCATACAAAATTACCCGATCCGCTACGATCAAGCGCAGGCTTCAGATCCCAAACAAACCCCAAGTAAGCGAGGCCCAGATGAAACTTGGAAATTGGCCTAATCTTTCCTATTGCAGTCACTATCATGCAAATTCCTGAACAAACAATCAAATCCTTCGGTGCATCAGGCGCATGGTGGCCTAATGATCTCAACTACTTTCCCTCCGAGCAACAGCAAAATCTATCGGAGCTACTCTTCTCGAAGGATTGGCTCTATCTAAGCGGCTACCGATACAACATGGGCGCCAGTGGAGATCACGATATTGTCACTGTAAAGACTGACGATGCTCCCGTAAATCGAGGAGTCGAGTCCTTTATGAAAACCGACGGGACTTATGACTGGACTCGTGATGGCCCAGGAATGTACTATTTGCGTGCGGCAGAAGCTGCAAATGTGTCATCCATCACATTCTTCGTCAACGCAGCGCCTTCTGGCTTGAACGCCACCACCGCGTCTTCAGCGCCCTGTGGTGGGACTTTAGAAGCGACTGCAATACCAGCGTTTGTCACCTACATTGAAACAGTGTTGGCCTATTGGGCTGACCAAGGCATCACCATTGAATACATTTCCCCCATGAACGAGCCCGATGACTCGTTCTCCAGTTGCGGCCAGGAAGGCATGGCTGTACCTCAGAGCATTCGCACTGCTGTATTTCAACAACTCCGAGCCGCTTCATCAGCGTCAACCTCAGCCGGCGCAAAAGCCGTGAAGATCATGGGCGACGAGACGAGTCAGATTGCCAGCCAGGCGCTGATGCACTATGGGAACTGGTTGCCGGAGACTCTTACAGGCCAGTACATTGATGCAATTGCGGTGCATATGTACGATTGGCCAGATGATGCGACGCTCTTGAACTTTAGGCAGCTTGTCAAAAACTGCTCGGTATCAGGCTTTCCACCACCAGTCAAGATGACGGAAATCTCATCGTTTCAATCGGCATCGGGTATGCGCAGTGAATGGGGATGGACTGGGCCTTCGGTCATGAGCGCGCAGTACGATCCCACAATGTCCAGTGCGCTCGACATGGCACGCATGATCTGGCAGTGGTTGACCCTCGTCAATGCCGAGTCTTTCGATTGGTGGACAGCCGTAAGCACCATGGTTCCCTGCTCTCCGAGTACTGATGCCAGTTGCGCAACCACTATTCAGAACGGCAGCGGCTGGAATGATGCCCTCATCTACATTGACGCAAATTATCGAACCACGAAAGACTACAATTTCTACCTGACCAAGCGCTTCTGGGTCTTCCGCCACTTCACACAGTTCATCCGCCCGGGCTCTGTACGCTACGACATCCCCAACGAGGTGCTGCCATACGGTACCGTGGCTGTAGCATCATTGGGTACGAATAATGTGTGGCAAGCGACCTTTATCAATCGCAACAATACCGCTCAAGTCGTCACGATGAATTTACCTAGAACAGGAGGAAGGATTCAAAGGTTGATACAAACGACTGACGATGTAGATTGGGGCGATTTGGAATGGCCAAAAGTGGCTTCGAATAACGACATCTCGTTAACGCTGCCGGCGCGTGGGGTGTTGACGGTGCAGTTCAGTGTCTCGGGACCACTGAGTGGCAGGCATCCTGAGGGTGATGGTGGCAGTGTGGAGTATCATGATCATCATCGGCCTACACAACCGCGACGTTGGGGCCAGAAAGGGCGTGGTTAATTGGGTTCGGGTTCCCTCGGGGAGAACACGCCCGAGAGCACGTGCGGAGCTGGATGGGCTTGATCTCTCAGCGAGGCACAACGGTGATGATGTAGAATGCATGTAGATTCAGTGGTGGGGCCATCAGCTATTATGTAGCTGATGGAGAACAAAGCACTGCTATCTATGGCTAGCTATATGAAAGGAACAATGATGGAATATGCATGGAAGGATGTAGAAGGGACGCATGCATAGAACATGAAGGAACTAGACACGCTGACATGATCTGAGTGACGTTGAAGTGCCTCCTAGATTTGATTGTTGCGGCTGTTTTCATGATGCAGTAGCCGTCATACATGAATACAGCATCCCCATATCGATGAAAATCAATGGAAATTGTGACATACCCACTGATTAGAAACCTTGTTCTCCGTGCGGATTCGGTGGACTTGGAGTAAGAGTGGAGGCTTGGATACGAGGATCGCTGCTGCCGGGCTATGGGGCTTGTGCCATAACACGCTGTTCAAAACATTGTACTTGAGGACCCCAGGAGAGCAATCATGGCGGTTTTGCAAGAAGCTATGGCACAGATTGCTAAGAATGACAGATTCAGAGTGGAGAAGGGGACATGAGAAATGTTCCGCCAACAGATGCTGCTCCGGCAGGCTTGCCCTTGGGATCTAACGGTAAGACTATGGAGCAAAAGTCGTGCGCGGAGGCCGAAACCTTTTATGAAATTGTGACGATGTTCGCAAATCTCTCTAAAAACTGTCACTTTATCTACAAGGGACAAGGAATTCCCTTGAATTTTATGCATTCATTCCTTTCTAAGATAAATTGAAATCCCCCCTATGCACGACTTACGCTACATCATCTTAGGAGCAGCTGTGTCTCATAATTCCGTAACTGTTTGCATACCCAATCTGCAGGTCATTGGTCGGATCACAGCTCGTGTTCCATATATCCACGTACTAGATACAGAGTACTACTCTTTACGATCTATCTCTCCTCTTGTCAGGGACACATACGGTTGTTTCACCAGTGATAGGCAACAGACCCCTCCGTGCAGCACGTGCCTATTCGAATCCGGATTCGTCACTTGGAGATGGACACCACAATCCTCTGGGATTGTCTCTCCCTTAGGCATAGTGTCCTTCGCATATAGAGTACTTCGATCAGGTTCCCCCCCCGTTTGGAGAATGCGGGTTGCCATTTACGACTGGACGGGTAACCAACAGGCAGAACGGAAGAGTAGGAGAGGTCGCCGTTCTCAGTGACAGGAAGTTTGACCTGTCGATATCGTTACTTCGCGTTCTGTTATGGTGTAGATATGGAGGTTGGCTGGGAGGGAGCTGAGGGCGGCAAGGGCTGTTGGCGGGAGGTCAGACGTGATGAGGGCGCTCTAAGAGTAGACGAGAAGGGGTGTGTAGAGGATTAAAACATGGTAACGCGGATTAAGTGGGCGTAGAGATGGAATTGGCATATGTCACTATGAAAGATTTGAGTCAGGGAGAGGCGCATGAATGGGTTTTTTCCTATAACTGAGGTGACTAGATTCTTCCACTCTCCCTAGCGATGATTCCGACGGCATCAGCTACAATGCTCAGATCTAACAGGGCAACGCGCCTACGTCTCATAGAGCGTCAAGAGCCTATCTTCTCTGCCACTTTAGCAGTCCCGGCGGCATAATCGTAAGTGGGAACCATTGTTGTGTTGTATATGTACAGGCACTATACGGGACGCGTTAGTCTTCATGGTTCATGATATCTTCTTCGAAAATCGCCGCACATACCGTTGCTCCGGGAGCCATTAGATAACAGGTATTTCCGTGCAGCATATTGCCATTCGAGTCCGGATTCGTGGTCTGCGAGTATGTTCCGCACTGTTCTGGGATACCATCGCCCGGCGGTGCAGAGCCGGACGGATAGGGGTTGTTCCAGTCGAGGACCTCGTCCTGTTCAAGATCCCGGCTGAGGGTGTACGATCGGGTTGTTAAGCCGGGGGCCCACATGATACCATATGCGAGGGGTTGGGTGTTATGGGCGTATACTTCGTATACGTGACTGTGACCGCAAGTGGTATCGTTGTAGACTTTGATTGTGAGGTAGGCCGGTACTGGTTCAGTCTTTGGTTTTTGGTCTTGGTGGCGGGCGGAGATGAGCGCGTGATCCGGCGACGGAGATGTGCTCACGATGCCAGCACAGAGGGCATAGATGACAAGGAGGACGAACGTGGTCGAAGACATGATAGATATCGCAATTTTAGAAGAATTTTGAGTTGAGGATCCGGTTATTTGGCACAGCCAATCGGATAGAGGTTGGTGGGGATAAGATGGCGAGTACGACTGATGACTATTGTTTGTAGTGGATAGAAGTGTAAAGTGGAGATGTAGTTGAAGGTGGTGGAAACTTTGATAAAGAGTATTTTGAAAACAAAGGCAAGAAGCAGGAACAACGGGTCCTTTATATTGACCATCTTGCTAGTGTAAGGACCAGGATAGTTGGCTCATGACTCCAGGAGTTTGAAGATTTGTTTCACTGCGTTTCATTTCAAGTGGCAAGGTATCATCGCGATGGTTGGTTAGGACTTCTTAGGCACACTCCCTAGTGGTGGAAACTTCGCTCCGTGTAAGTTTTGGCTGTTGCAGATGGGTACTCATCTTGGGACTTGAAGAAGTCATTTGTGGCTGCCTTGACTGGACGGGCTTGAAACCCGGACAAAGACTCATGTTTGTTTTGATTCCAGTTGAGGGCTCGTTTCAGATGCTTTGCTAAACTATATGACCTGAAACTTGTTAGAGATCGTAACCCTTTAAGACAAATTTCTGTTCATAGTTTTCCATACACCGTGTACACAAGTATCATTCCTTTATATTCCTAATCTTGAAAGCTTCATGTTATGAATCTTGAAATCAGAAGCAATGGCATGGTATATATATTGTAACGATTGGGTGCGATTGGCGTTTGTAGACTCTTTCTGCAGCTCATTCACTTCACAAGACGCCCGGTCAACCAATTGGACAAGGGCTGACTAATACACGCGCTTCTATCACTCCACCTTGTCTACGCGACGCCTTCCAATGCATCTTCAAATTGTCTTCATACCTTCCGTAGCTTTGTCTACGTACTTGGCAGCACTTGACCTGTCGGGCCAGCTGCTATTGGTCTCATTGCCGACAACTACTGTACAGGATTTGGACCTCATACCCCGGATCTCATGATTAAAGGTCCAGATTTTACAGCAGTGCTTGCCAGAAGAGAAGGCTCTGTCTAATTGGGCTTCCTTCCTAGCCGTTCAGACACTGACCAGATAACAGAGTAAGAGCTACCCATACCCACCACAAGCCGAACTTACTCACGGCTACATAGGTACATCTCGCTCAATGGTTGTTTTCAGTCCTTCCCCTTATTGACATCTGCAAGCAAACAACAAAGCGGACACGTCATCAACACGCATAATCAGCAAACATTCTCAACACACTTGATTGGTACAGCAACCTCGCGCATCTCGGAACGCTTTCCTCCTGCCGGCTCCAAACAGCCATCCCACCCACATGATCGCTAAACCCTGCCAACCTCTCATTTACCCATCTCACTTCTGCCTTGCATAAAGGCCTCGCTTGAGTCATGTCTTCCCGCGCCTTCAGCTCCGTCGTCTTGAATGAGCTGCTCAAGGAAATTGAGCAGATCGAAGAAGGGATTGGTCTTGATGACGAAAAATGGGCGGCAGCCATGACGACGAAACATTCTCGTGCAATTCAGGAGGAGCCCGTCGTGTACCTGACAGAGGAAGATAATTTCTTAGCAAGACAGTACCTGGCTCGGTACAAAGAGCTGGGCATGGATCTTGCTGACAGAGCCACCCGATTCATCCGTGACAAGCACGCTGCGGATATCAGGGAGTATTTAAAGACCAAGCACGAGAACCGGTCTGCCTTGATTGAGCATGATTCTACGGAGGATAATCAGTACTTTTTACCTAGTGACGATAGGGCGCCTACGTGCTTTGAGGAATGGTTCGCTGTCACCGAGGTTTGGAGGCTAACACTGGCGATGAAAGAAATTCCTTTCCAAGATGCCGCTTTTGGAACGCCCGGATGTCTTCTCAGTCCTCTGCCAAAGCCTTGGGAGGACAAACTGAACGAATGCATGCAAATCACAGATGGCTCGGCCATCCTCCCCGTCCCCAAAGGCTACGGTCTTTCCATCACGAGACATGATCTCAATTCGATCCTGCCTACGTCAGATGCCAACACAGATCTATCAGGACTCCTCAGCGACACCATTAGAGATCAGTGGTTCCGGATTCTCATCTCTTACCGAAATCAGCGCAAGCCTGGCAGCACCGTCGTTGTTCCCTCCGATAGTCTGGATTTGGCTGGTGCAACACCTCAAGAGGTTTCGGAAAAGGCGATGTTGGTGAACGCGGATATCGATATGATCCTGTTCCCAACTGTCATCAAAGAGCAGGACCACTGCATCCTCCTCGCGGCGTGTCCACAGAGGCGTGCGATTGCTGTCTACGACTCTCTGGGACCCGAGTCGACCAAGGCACTGCAAAAGAAGCGTCCTTGGATCAAGGAGGGAGAAGTACAATTGGAAGAGGCGGTTTGGGAGGTGATGTGGCTTCAATGCACACTGCAAGGCGAAGAGGCTGCGAGTGGAGTTTTCATGTTCATCACTGCCTTGTTGCTCTGTCGGAACAAAACCCTTGTTGGCGGCTATTCCAAAGATGACTCGTTGTTTCTAAGACGGTACATTGCGGCGGTCATCTGCATGGGGGAACTGCCAGAAGATTTCTAGATTGCAGTATGTACCGCTTCGTGCTGGTTATGGTACGGGATGAACGCAGCTCACAGCGAAATCACTTCTTTTTGCAATCGATGGTCTGTGGGGGCACCTCGGTGGAGTTTGAAGAGACAATTAGCACATAGAATCAATCAAGCAGCTTCTGTCATCATTATTGGCAACCACAATTGCATCGCGTACCTACCTCCCTAAGATAGCAGGGGTGTCATGACTCCTTAACGGCGAGCAGAGAGCTTGCGCGGCAACAGGAAAAGACCTTTTCAGGGCCTTCAACCGCCATGTTGACACCGTTTTCCCGGGATCTTCCTATATGGAGGACTTATCGGCGCTTCGCCACAAACATCATGGTATTTCAGTCACCCTCTTCCACCCAAAGTTTCCCGCGCTTAAAAACAGTACATCTTCTTATGCAAGCAGAAAGGAATCTCGGCAAGCATCCGGGTCATACCACGTCACCAGTAATATCAAGACCTGTGGGGAAAGGCTCCCATGTTAACGGTCAGTCGACAAAGAAGCAAACTCTTCGGTCGCGAGCACACCACGCGAAGAAGGACCCTCTGGTGCGTGGACCCTCCAGCAACCCCCCTTGCAACACGCTGGATTACCTTAGGAGCTAAGCACGTACGAAGGCCGGCGTATAAAGTCCTAGATGCCAAGAATCCTACGCGCAAGATCTCGAATTGCGATGAAGGACACAAGGTACCCGGCTCAATCCTAGGAGTCACCATACACCAGCGTCGCCGGAGGTACCTGGACTAAAGTATGTGTATGCGACCGTATCGCTTTGCTGAAAAGAAAGCCAGAAAAAGCAAGTCCAAGTGGAAGCGACCGCAGCATGTTAAAAGACCTGCGATGATATATGATCAGTTGTCCCGGAGAGGTCTCTGTTTGAAAAAGTCATCAACTGTGTTCTTCACGATCATTGTATGTTTTATGGCTAGCGATCCTTCACATAGCAGCAAAGTCGCAATCATGACATGGATGAGCTATGAACCCTATCGTCAGATTTACCGTCTTCTGGAGGATAGAACGGCTGTTGAGCAAGGTTATAATATTTGCAAAACCAGCCAAGAGTACAGCAGGAGAGCTTAAGGTTGACGTTCACGTTCGGTCGTGCGCGTCCAGATTGTCTAGCTCGCCGTAGTCGATCTCCCCAACCCCAAGGCGCTGTGCAATGAACTTACTCTCAATTCCTCCGGCGCCACTTTCAACCATGCCCTCAAGTGCCGTCGCGGCCCTCGCCAACAGGCGGCTTGAAACCTCAACGCCAGCACGTCTCGGTAGCAATAAGTTGGCTACTCGACTCGTCTGGGTCGCCGCCATGAAAATGTATCCAACCATGAACGGAAGCTGATTCTCTTTCTCCAAATAGCCGGGACCAAACATCTCGAGCAATTGAGGTTTGCACACGTCGTTGACGTTGCGTAAGAGCATCCAACAAAATCTGTGCATTCGTAGGTAATCGACGCTCATTTCAAGTGTTTCGGCGTGTAGGGCATTGGCGAGATCTTCGAGAAAGTCGGTTGTCGGCATCGATCCGCTGTTGCTTTTGGGTTTGCGAATGAGCGAGCCGGACGCAGCAGTCTTGACCTTGGTGGACTTTTTCTCCGCATTCTCACTCTCACTCTCACTATCGTCCTCTATCTTTGCATCTATTATCGGTTTAATACAGTCAGGCGTCCAAGTCACGGTGTGCTGATTTTGACAGTATCTCCCCTTAAAGAGCGCACCAACAGCGCACAGTTCAGACAGAGCTCTCGGGCCTTTGGCAGAAGCTATCGCAGCATTTCTCCTACGGTTGCGGGCAAACGCAGTGGCAGAGTACCCCACGCTCAGAAGGAAACGCTTAAGATATCCCTCCAAGTCTTTTGGAGGATCACCAACAAAGAACTTCTCGGTACTTTGCAATGCAATGAGCAACTCCATGTCTTTCCATGCTTTCGATAGGAACTTCTCCTGCCGGATAGCATTATACAGGTGACCAGTGTACATGATTGAGCCCCAGGCGTTGGCGAAAGCGATGCCCACTTCTTGTGCTGTCTTTTGGATGGCAAACGAGAAGAGGCCGCAGATAAGAGGGTATTGTTTCAGCAGTCGGAAAGGCTCCGGAGGTGGCAGCGTCACTGCGGCTTTGACCTGTTTGAGCGTCTGTTAGCCAAGTTGAAAAGTCCAGAACTCCTGTCCTTACTGCTTTCATCTTATCCGCTACCATATCGTGGCGTATCCACTCTTCAATGACTCTGAGGCTCTCATTAAACTGGAAGTCGTTCTGCCTGGGCCAGTTTTCAACACGGAGTGATTTATGGAAATCGAAATTCTGCGAGATAGACGCCCTGATAGCGTTGGCAGTCTGTTGAAGCTCTGCATGTCCACGGGCGACATCTCGACCGAGGACGTGTTGAGCATCGAGGAAGCACTGGGCAGCGAATACAAGCCACAGCGGGATGAGTCTTCCAGGGGCCATTTGACGGATGCCTCGGATGAGCTCGTCCTCCGCTAACGGTGACTTTGAAGTGATCATGGTCATAAGCATCAGGTCAGGAAATGCTTCCATCAAAACAAGGCTATCATCGTGGACCTTGTCCCTGGCGGACTTCTTAGTCCAATCGTTTCTCATGTCACGGGCTCCAAAGTGACCAGGCTTATAGATTGGGACAGAGTCAGGACTTATGATTCTTTGCAGGCCTTCAAGAACGATGTATGTGGGCACCATGACCTCCTCTGCCAGATCGTAAACCTCAAAGTTGAAAAGGTCATTCGATTGTTGTTTGCTGCTTGGGTCGTGACCGCGATGTAAGCACTGAACGCTATAAAAAATGTGCATGATACTCTCGTAGTCGGACTTTTCCGGAAATCGCTGCAAGCAATCCTGCTCCATACTGCGGACAAAATCGATGGCGGTGTTCGTTGTTATAGAGACCGCAACAAGACTTAGGCCGCCATCTCTGTAGTTTGCCCATAGCTGGCGAAGGAAAGAGCGGATGTTTCTCACGTCCTGGAACAGACAGTGAGCCGCCAGATATTGCTCCTCTCTGCTTCGCAACTTTTCCGCTTCATAGGTAGGTTCCGGAACAGCCTTATTACCTGTTTCCTGCTTGACATCAGGCGCATCAAGGAATGTTTGAGAAGGTTCTTGGATGTCTAATCCAACAAACATGTTGCTGATTTGTCCATTAATCTGTGTGTCTGAATTTCCTTGTCCATTCCCATTTGAGGATGGCTTTGAGAGAAAGTCGTCTATCAACTCGGGTGGCATACGAGGCTTGAGTATCTCACGTGTGCGCTCGAGGATGTCGAGAAAGTAGGCATGGCTCTTGTTGCTCTCCTCAATGTCAACGGACATCTCAGCCTCTGCCCGGCTACGGGACCAAGTGTTGTGTTGCTGGCGAAGCTCTACGGCGCGATTGAGAACCCTGGCCAGAGTCGCCGGTACTTCTACCGCTGGCTTGGTGAATCGAGCAATGCATTCAGCCAAAGTAACAAAGTCCTTGACTTGTATGGTGTACTTGGGTGCATCTGCTGAGATTTGGAGATCTTTCAATGGCGCTGCATCTCCTTTAGCCACATCTTTGGCTTTCTTGCGTGCCGCTCCCTTCAGTCGCTGCGAGGGACGAGCGGGTTGGTGCAAAGAGGTAGGCGGAACAGTTGGGGATAGAAGGTCGGCAGGATAGCCGCATTGCTTTGCTTTGACCGCGAGCCATTTGGCAATGGAGTCAGTGTCTTGTTTGTAGGTCTGGTAATTCGATTGGAGGAAGTTGGGCAACATGATGACTGTGGGATAGGACTTGGCTCATCAACACATTGAAAAGTTTTCACGGTTGTGAAAGCTGAGTGAAGGTAGTGAGTAAAAAGGTAGGGAGGGGACAAAGAAATGCGGAAGTCTGAGGACTACGAGAGAATGTTTGATGCAATGCATAGATAGGGTAGTGGAACTAAATTTGATGGGGGAATGTGGAGAGCGGAAGCTTCCGCCGTCAATTAATCGTGGTCCCACCGTCCCACCAAAAGAGGTCGGCAACTAAAAGTCCTGGACGCCGAGACTTCTGCGCCAATATCTCGGATGACGCCCCCGCCTAAAGGGCTATCTGAACAATGCGCTTGAGAATTATGTCGGAACTGCACCTAGTCCCAGCCAGGTTTAGGGCCCAACGCCCCGATGACGCCCAAAAGAGGTCCCGCCAATTCAATTCACACGCTTCCAGAGCCGAGTCTCAAGCCAGTAACCTAAGGTATACCAATGAGTTCATGAGTGGAGCTCGTGTGATAGAATCGCAGGCATATGTCGCCATGGAACCGTCTTTCGACATCATATGCCAAAGCAACGAGCGAAAACGCAATCGTTCATGGTGAAAAAGCATTGTGGTTAGGGTCGGTAGGGGAAAATTTCTTTGTAGGCATGTAGAAACATGAGCAAGAACTGGACCGCTGTACCAATGAAGTCTGTGGTCTTACAAGGTTATGCTCATCGATACTTTCCCAGTCAGAACGGCTTCTAATCTGGTTGGAACAATGAAAAGCGTGCTTGCTGGGCTTGTTCTCGTTACGGATGTGGTCATTTCCTAGTTTTTCAATGCCATGCCTGTTCAAAATAGATTCCGGGGCCAACTACCCACCAGTGACCTGCCCGATCGCGTCCTGGGCCGCGAGGGTGGCTAAGATCGTGTTTGGAATCCCATTGAGCAGCTGAAGCTTGTCGGAGTCAAGGACTGTCAGAGCTTCGTACCTTCGCTGTGCAAGGACCATGTTTGGTTGAAGAGTCGAGGTATGGTGCGGCACCGGGGTAGCTTCAAAGAAAGACGTAGACGAAGACAGAAGGAACACGAAGTAGTGACTCAAGTAGTTGATGGAGTTCAGACTCTGCCAACTCGGGTTGGTCATTAGCTTACTGCATGTACATTTTCGCTAGCCGTTGTCGGCATGGACACCGCACTAGTCCTTGACAAGAAGATTTCCAAAGCGAGTAACAATTACATACTGCATAAAGAATCTACGTTGTCTTCCAGCTACTTCAAGTGCTGTGGTGAGTACCTTTTATCTTTCTCTTACCGAACTGCCTTCTTCAACAAAGAAGACATTTAGCAGTTTCTACTTCATACACTCCAGCGGGCTAATGTCTGTCGTTCCGGCATTTCTGGAGACGTACTCTGCCTACGACGCTTGCCTTCCTCATGTCGCTGAAGGACCCAAAGCGAGCCATCAAATAACGATAGCGTCTTCTGAAATGTTTCATGACCTTCAGGACAAACGATCCAATAGCGTCGAGCATACCATGTGGGAGTTTACCATGCGTGCTAGATGATTTTATGAACTGCTCTTGTGGGACAGCTTCAGTTGTCGGCTGCTCGTTCAGTGTTGATTACCTCCTAGTAAGTCTACGATCGGATTGATACTGTTGTGGTTTAGCTTTAGCCTTGGGTGTCTTCTTGAAAGACGTTTCCCAAGAGGTTTATGTTGTGAAGGTGATAATAAAAAATATCGGTCAATGTATCACAAGCAGAAACGGACTACCAAAATGAGAAAGGAGAACTCTGTCTAAGCGATAATTGAAGACTGTGCACGGCGGAAATAGGCAGTATAAAAGACTGTTGATAAAGAAAATGCTATGAGATTGGGTCAAAATTCTTGGTCGCCCTTGTTGCACGGTTTTCCCACCTACACTTCGGAATTCCAAGACGCGTGATCGATCGCAGTCGTAGTCTTAGCGCCCGCAGGATGGGCACCTCTCGATCCTGAGATGCTTGATATTGCATGTTCTCCCATTACGGAGTACGGTCTGGCACTTGGTTTGATGGGTCTTGCACACGCCGTTGGAGTTGCGACAATTGCCCTTCATGCCTTTCCCAGGACCTCCACAATGGTGCGATTTCGTCATTCTGTTTGAAGTATAGGGTGCGTTTTATGATGTGGATTGAAGGTTCAAGTGCTGTGGTGTGTGGGATACTATGATTTGTTATCGTAGCTGTAGTCTATGCTAAAAGAAGAGTTGTAAATGTGAAGACGAAAAACGAAGAATATGTAGGCATAATTGAGCCTTGACTGGTGCAAAGAGTGTTTGATGGCCGATTTCAAAGAGCGCTTTGATCTCTTTAAGTTTCGTCGCGAAGGGGTTTTGTTCTGTTACATGCCCGGAGAAAGGGAATTTGTCCGTGCATAAAGAAAGGTGTCACAACATACAGTACGACAGAGCAGATGCATTAATCCAGAAGGAGCACTCGGCGGAAAGCCGAGTAACAAAGAGAGCACAACGCATAAATAGAAACATTTACAACAAAACAGAAAAGCAACGCAGTCGTTGAGACAAAGAAAATGGTGTCAAGGGCTTGAATCCATGCAAGGGACTTCTCAGTCCGTTCGCAAACATGGTACCAATGGAGTTTGGCGATTCTTTCATTGGTCCTTGTTGCCACACATCTGCTGGGCACCAGCTATTCAAATAAGGAGAAACTTTCGCACAGAGTCTGCACACCATCCATCTAAGCATCCTCTGTTTCCAACCGAGACGCCAGGCTCAATTCAACGCCCATATTCATGGCTTCGAAATCTACAGAAAACGATCAAGATATTCGATCAGATCCACCGACGATGACGGCACTCACCTTGCAAGAGATGAAAGATGGAGTACCCGCACCGTCTGAGAATGACTCGATACATTCCAGCTCTGCACATTCCGACACTTCAACTCTGAATCACGACCAGGAGTCCTACGATCTGTTCAAACTCCGCGTTGAAAGGCTTTGCCAGATTCTCTGGCCTCCGCAGAAATCCATCAGACAAGCTTTGTCAAACAGCAAAACAGCAACACGTATGCGTGCAAGCAAATTCTTCCGTCTCATCATTCGCTCTCAGAAAGCACCACTCATCGAGCGCCTCCGAGGCGGCGACTACAACCGCATCGTGGGTATAACACTGCCGCTGTCAAAAGGCGAAGAGAGTCGCAATCGCAATCTCATTCTTCGGGTACCACGATGGGGCCAAGGCCCAACCGAAAGAGTAGTTGCCACTCTCGACTACTTGCGACGGAAGTCTACAATCCCAATAGCCACCACTATTGCGAAGGACTTCAGCAAAGAAAATCCGCTAGAGAGCCCCTACATTATTCAGAATCGCATCCCCGGAAGTAACCTCGAGGTTCTGTGGACCGAACTAAATCATTCGCAACGATGCACCGTCGCTTGTGAAGTAGGTCGTGTGATAAAAAGTCTTTTGGCACTCGAAAGTCCGGTGACAGGCCATGTCGAAGCATACTCCAATGGCATGGGGAGTACAGAGCCCCATACTATTGTCCCATTCGACTTGAAGAGTGCTGGTGGAGATCAATTCGAAGAGCCAGAGCAGCAAGCTTCAACTATCAAGGGAAATCCGCGTGAGAGCCAAACTACTCTGGACTTCTTCAAGTGTCAAATTGGGCGCTGGCGGGCAGTCGATGTCGCGAGAGAATCCCCTATGCTTGATCGGACGGTTGGCCTCTGGGATGGCGTGCTTAAAGTCGTCGAAGAAATGAACGACCTGGGCTTATTCATACCGAGATCTCATTGCCTCTGCCATGTTGACCTACATCCTCGTAATATCATGGCAAGCATAAAGCCGTCCGGCTGTATTCAAATCACAGGAATCCTCGATTGGGACGAAGCAGTCATTGCACCAAAGTTCGTGAACTGTGAGCCTCCAGGATGGCTCTGGGGTTTCGATCCGGATGATCTTCCGCACGATGATTTACCCACTTGGCCATATGAGAGACCGGGAGCCAACGAGGTGCCCTCAACTTTGCAGAGTCAAGAGCTCAAGCGCATTTTTGAACATCACGCTGGATCTGAATACGTAAGCCTAGCGTACCATGAGCACTACCGCATGAGCCGGGGCCTGTTCCGACTGGCAGTGTTCGGGCTGACTTCAAGCGAGAACTACAGCACGGCGGAGAGGATAATTTGTGATTGGGAGAGGCTTCGTCAGTCTTTGATGTGGTGAAACTGGGAGAAGGAAGGAAGGTTACAAGTCTGATGATCCCTAACACGGGATGTGTTGGTCGGTATCAATAGGTACTTACTTGAGAAATGCAAAGTCCATCTCCCCTCGAGGATCGCCTTTGAAAGGTGCTTTCATTCAGCCTCGAGAGTCTACCATCACCCTAGACCCTTGTAGATCGTCGCTGAGCTCCCAAATTATACTTTCTGTTGGGCCGTGACTAGAGCGGTGCTAATTGCCACTCTACCACGAGAGCTACCGGGTGAAAGGTCGTCCCTAACCAAAAATCAATACTGGCGCCAACTTCACCTTAACCTTGACTTTCTTCACGCCTCACGCTAGCCATTCTTTCGTTGGACCGATTCGACTTGATCTTCCTCATTCTCTTGGACTGGATTTCGCCAGCGCTGAGACCGACATCGTCATTCGTCATCGTCTGTTCCACTTTGAACAAATGTTTTCCCGCCGCAACCGGTTGTGTTGTGGTCACGGAAACAGCGTGGGGGCGGCGACCGGCTTACAGCAAATATGTTATTAGGTTCGGCTGAACCAAGTCCGGGTAGCTAGAGTGTAACACAATTTCGATTTCGCAGTTGGAACTTCGTGGACTGCTCCAGATACAACAATATCTACTCTGCATGAGCAGTATCCGTCAGTACGCGCTGAGTCTATACGTCGTTCAAAGAGTAAAGTAATGGAGTCCTGTAGCGGCAGTCGTGACTTGTGAAAGACTGGGAGCGAGAGCGGCCGATAATAGTGTCTAACCAAGCGTGCTGTCTCCGGTCTTGGCAAGCCTTGGGCAGCACAGAGGGCAAGTGTAAAAATCGATCAAATAAAACACACGCTTCCGCTTTGCAACAACGTTGTAGTGGGAACATCACTTACCCTCTCCCTTTGTTTGTGTTCGGTACGTACAGGCTAGCAGGGGTCGAGCGTAGGGATTATCATTTGTCTCAGAACTTTGCTTACTCATGAGCGCGGCAAGCCATCAATCAAGACCCCTACATTTACCCTCTGCTAGCGTGTACGTACCGAACACAAGTAAAGGAATAAGGTGAGTTGGAAAAAAAGTTGACTTCTGGAAATGGTTCTGATTGCTGCGCTCAAGTTTCGATTAAATAAAGGATATTCTATTCTTAATTGAATTTGCAACTCAACAAATTTCGTCATACTTTTAGACTGCCTCCATAGAGAGATTCATTTCCACTGAGATCTCAGAGTCTAAATTTCTTTAAATGTTCGAATTTCACAGTTAGAAGTTACTGAAGTTACTAACGTTGGGGCCCAATTCGTATTACCTTAAATTAGATCCGCCGTACGGAGTAGGGTTGTTGGTCGTAACCCTGAATATCAGGAGTTCATTGCCCTTCTTGTCACATCGAAATTGAGACGAGCGATCGCGGCTCTATTCTACAGTCTCAGCTGTAGTAATCGATGGTACTTTTTCTGCACTACCTAGTCATCAAACGAAATTCTCAATCCGAATTTAACAATTTCGCTCGCTGCGTGGGATGTTGTAGGAGATCCCGAGCATCCGAATCAAAGCGATAAGTATCCGCAAGCCGCAGCTTTTGTTGTATCATAATACGGTAAAACCAACAGCTCTGGTGGATACGAGTAATGTCGTTGGATAAGTAAGTCTATCATTGTCTGATTCTTGTCTCTCGGAATTATATCTCTTGAGAGCCTTGCGGTGCACCTCAGCACTCTGGCAGCGTAACTGGCCCGCCACCCTCACACGACAGGCCACGCCCTCCATCCTGTTGAAGGAAAGTATCTGAGACGGTACCTCGAAAGAAGATGAGACTTGGCAAGGGAGCGGATGTCAGAGCGAGGTCAAATGCAACGTTCAAGATGTTAACGGTCAGTACTGTAAAGACACCTTCTGCGACCACTTCTTCTCCAATCTACTAAACATTCCGATCAGCAAGTGTGTTAAACCGAGCCTCAAGGCTGATTTTGAGCCAAATCTCGCGCTTAGTGCGTACAAATTTGACAGTAACCTGCTGTCAACAAGTGATCGCAGAAGGAGCCTCATAATGCAACTCCCTCATGTTTTTAGTAAGTCGGCAGAAATATCTGTTTACTCTAATCTGAGAAAATCAAACAAAGCATGGCAGCGGATGATCTACCAGGAACCTTAAATTGTCCGCTTAAAATCACGCGTTATGGTTGTTCTTTTACTTCCAAACCAACCCGCACCCCCCAACCACTCGAAACCCCCAACCATGATAGCCACGGATTATGTTTACAGTGGCAGATACGTTGAGTATCTATCCCGTATCGATCTTCTGGCAGGGCCGAAGATAGCCCGACGCTAGATTTCCTACCCACGTGATTCACTTCTACCGTCGCCGTGCCAGAAACCGGATTTGTTTCACCCCGTGTTTACAGTTTTCATGGTGTAATCTCTCTCTCTCTCTCTTATCTGCACCCTGATGTTTCAATTTTCCCATTTCGTAGGTCCTCGTATTCGATTGTCGCGTCATGCGCCAGCTGTACCCATGCTCTAGTCTTGCCGTCAACGTGATTATACGTCGTAACATATGCCTCGATGTCCTTTACCTGATAGTCTTCCTGTGACCTACTTTCGGAGATAGTATAGATATATAGGCCCTTGTGGTGGCTTGGGCATGCTGTAGACGTTGTGCACGACGGATTTATACAAGAAAGCTGCGGTTGCACAAGCACAGATCGCTGGCTTCCTGATCCGAACTATGGAAAAGCAAGATAAGCTGTTCGTTCCCACTCTTTGCTTTTGCACTTCGAGCTCAAGGCAAAGCTTCGGGGTTGGCTTCGCCGCTCGTGCTTCCACGGCCACCTCTTAGTGCCTGTTTCAGCACTATCAATCCATTAATCGGAACCATTCTTGCCGAGATACGAACCGGCTAAAATTCCCAATGACACATGGGAACCGTGTTCCGCCAATGTGCCCCGATGAGGCCCGTGACGATCAATCTTCCATTGCGACAAGATATCGAACCGCAAGAACGATGCTGAGTGTTCCAGAATTCGCAGTCTATGTCACCCTTCGACGCAGTCACGTGCCCCAGACGGAATCACGAATCATTTATATCATCCGCGGGCAACATTCCTTTCCTTCAACATCAGAACTCAACATCGTCTCTGAATCATTTCGTCAATTGTAAAACATGAAACCATCCTCAATAGGTGCTGCACTCTTTTGGCAGGAAGTTCTTTTCTGGTCTTATCCTATCCTAGCGTCCCCAAGGATATCGCCCGAGCTGGCACCCAGCCAGACTGTGGTTTCGAGTACAAGCTCGCCGAGTGTTTCCGTATCCGCTGGCATCTATCATGCCAACAATTCCAGCGCCGGGGCCGGCAAGACTAGCGAGTCCGACAATGGGGATTCTACGACCGTACCGCTGGTTAATTCGCCATTACTCTTTCCCTCCTTCTCTGAGTGCACATCAGGCGACACAGGCACTGCCACCTTCACATCAGAATTTGCTCACCACACTGGATTCGAAACAATAGCCGAGGACCAGGAATTCTGGAACGATACAGGTGCCGTTTGGGTAGTGAAGATCGTCTCGCCCGGATATTCTATTCAAGAGCTTGGACTCTTCGTAGGAAGCGATCTATATCCGGTGAACAGCACAGCCATAAGTATTGATTCAGCTAGTTCAGCATTTGCGATAACGGTTCCAACTCGTGGATGTTTAAGTACGTGCATTCTCCTAACTGTCAACCTCTCAAACCTCACCATCACTCCGATGAAGCATTCTTATAGATAATCCTTGTGCTATAGTCTCAAGGCCTGCCATTAGTTGGTCGGTTGAGCCCACCCAAACGACATCCAATGTTGCCAGCACATACACACTCAGCATCTCGGGCGAATACCCTTGCGCTTCTAATACGATCCTTAATCCCCCACAGTGCACACACAATCCTGCGGTAAGTTTCTTTTTCATGTGAAGCCGCTCCCACTCCTTCACTAATACGCGGAATGCAGTACGCTTTGACGGTCGAAAACTGGCTGGAGCAGGACGTCGATCAGCTTTTATACGAATGGTGGTTCGATTATAGAGATGACGAATGCGATCCTGAGGACTTGGGTAGTTCAACCTTGAAATACCTCCAGCCGCCTGATACTTCTAGCAATCTGGTATGATAGGTTTCCTTGAAATTGAATCGAGTACCGTCCTGACGAAAAGCAACAGCCATTTCAGTTAGCGTATTGGGCTACCAGTAGCGAGGCGTTCGACTGTACATTTGATGGAGACAGTTGTACCATTTCAGAAGACCCATGCAGCAGTGGTAAACGTTTGCCAACTTTGAAGAGCTTCCTAATCCTTTCCATTTGACTGATAGATGGCTAGGTGGCATACCTCCATGGGCGTTCCTCGCGCTTTCGGCTATGATGAACTTGCGCTCTATCATGGTGGCTATCAACGTAAATCCTGTGTATTTCGGATTATGATCGGATAGGCTGATTTCGGCATCCTAGACCGCGCTTACAAACGCCGTTATCGCCAATATCCTGATCTCGGGCACCGTCCTCGATGATTTCATTGAAGAAAGCGTCTCACCCTCCGAGAAGGGCATCCTCGCCCTCACCTTTATTGGTGCTATCGTAGGGGTCATCGGGATTTTTTGGACTTTACTAATTCCAGCGGCTGTAGTAGAAGAGATTGTTGCAGAAGCAACAGAATTAGGAGAAGAAATTGGAGCGGTCGTAGGGGAATCGGCCGAAACAGCGGCGCAGGGTTTGGCCACGGTGGCGATAAGTCGAGTTGGTGAGGGTCTTTCGAGCCCAAAGGCCGCTCCAGGCCAAGGCGCCGCAATCTATGGGTCCATACCGGGGGCTTTGATCACTGGTTCAGCGAGTGTGTGGAGCAAGATTGTCGCTAACGACGCGTAAGGACGTGCTACTGGTTTACCGCAGGAACAACGACTGACACGTCTCTAGAAATCCTCTCGCCCAGATAAGCACCTATGAGGATATGCTTGCTCTCAATTGGAATCAAACGCAGACCACGTTGACAACCTTCAACGATAATTTGTTTAGCAATAACAGCTGGTCGACGATGCTCATGTAAGTTGTCGGCTGTCCCACTTCTATCATCCTAACTTATTGCATAGGGTGGCTCTTTATGGAGGCATATATGCGGAAAACCATACCTCATGGACGGATAATGAGCTCAAAGCCACCTTGAATGTTGATGTAACTTCTCGGATGATCAACAACATCTGGGGTCAAGGACAAGTCTACGTGCAATTCACAGACCTCGAAGACGGTGGGGTTTCCTTGCCAATTGCTCTCATAGACGACATGTGACTGATGAGGCTCAAAAGGGAATTCGACAACCAAATGCGACCGTGATCTCCATGGTCCCCAGAGCTCAAAATATTGTGCCGATGGTGGAGTGTACTATCTTCAGGCCATCGGTTTCTCAGGCTTGGGAAAACTAGCAAGACCGAACACCAAAAAACCGTATGGTTACGATTCGCTACAGAGTAATGGTATTGAACCATGGGTGAGCGACTGGTTTGATTTCCCAAGCTGATAGGCATCAACTGACTCAAGTCTGACTCTGCAAGTGGATATGTGCTGCATCAGCAAAACTTTACAGACAATGTAAGAGAATCCACAGGGCATTTACGATTCTGAACCTGATTTCTGTCATTCACGGACAATGGAAGCGGAGGACTGATTTGGAGAAACTATACAGATGGCTTGCAAGCGGACTACACAGATGCGTATGCGTTCACAGCTTCACTGAGTGCTATGATCGCGAACAACCTAGGCAGTAGCCAAACATTGATCGGCCAGGTATGAGCTGCTGAAGATAATTAAAGAACTCGAAACTGATCGATCATCTAGTTACCTGGCGAGTGGAGTCTTCCGGTCTGCGACGGCGGCAAAAACTATTATGGGTGGGATTGGTCCAACACCGGCAGCCTCAACACCAGTACGGGAGCGGAGAGCGACATGGCTTTCAAAAGCAGTGTACCTCACGAATGGGTCCCGTGCGCTTGCGGATATCAGGGGAATGAGACATCGCTCTTCTACCAGGCGGCCAACATGTGGAATATGTCGTGGACTGACCAGGAGAAACTCCAGGAGTCTTGTGCGAGGACCATGACGTACAATAATAACCAAGGCTACCTAAACATCAGTAGCGGGCCTCCGCCGAGCCACACGATTGATTACTCCGGGTCCAACAGTGCTCTCCTGATCACGTACTCACCGACGTCAGCACCGCCCTTTCCGCAGGATCCTCCATGGTATGTGTGAGAGTTCTTTGGAGCGCGGAGCACTGTTGGTTCTGGATCATCGGCGGAAGGTGCTATTCCCTTGGCAACCTTGAACTTTAATCGTTTTGTCTTCCAACTATCTAGGTCTGTTGAAGACTTTAGGCGGCGCGCGACTACATTCAGCTCTCACGATTGTAGATATAGATTATACGTGATTCGCATATCAGCTTCGAGGGTAATAACGGTGCTAGAGTCTCACAGAGACAGAACAGACGGGAGATCAATGTTGGTGTGTTGAGAAGTGATGAACATAGAGAAAGCTATAGACGTAGGCATAGCGAAGATCGAGACATCAATCTAGCATCGAATTGATTTACAGAGGCCTATTATGTACGCTCATCAAGACGTGTCTTTCATACTGCTGCTGGCAAGGGGCGTGGCGATATTAATAACAACCACGTGCGAACGAAAGAAGGGCCGGTTTTGGAGAAGTTTAAAAACATGAAACGTGCTCTCGGTGGGAGTACGCTTGGCGCGCAGAGCAACTGCCGGAGACGATCCTTTCTCTTAGGTACATTGAGCTAGCAATCCAACTGAAACCGGTGTCATCCGAGCCCACCCCTGATCCCACCTTGCCGCTAGAACTAGAGTTTTCGTAGCTATGATTGAGAGATCCATTAAATTATGCCACTTATAGTAAGGTTGTCGTACGACTAAATTAAATATGTTACTAGAGAAGCCAGGGCGGTAAAAGAGTGGTATCCTGGTATGGAGAGGTCTGTGACAGATGAAGCCAAAGAATCGACATCGTCAACTGTTTTGAAATCAGCATTATACTTGCAATAGAATACCAAACGTCGCGGCGTTACAATCAAAGTTACTACGTACGATATTAAAGATTATATAGACTAAATTTACTATCAATCTAAAATTCAGATTAAAAGCTCTCTTAGAGTTTCTATAAGATTATTATAACTACATACGCTACGTAACGAAGCGAGATAGAGCGAGATTTTAGATATATACTTCGTTATTCTTATTAAGCGTATTAATTAAATTAAATTAAAACTATTACTCTTATAATATTCTCTAAATATAATTTATATATCTTTAAATTATCTTTTTAAATATCTATATCTTATACTTTAATTTAAATTATAATATTATATTTTATAAGTTTAAATCTATAAATTAAATTTATAGAAAGTAATTTATTTTTAAATCTAATTTCGAGATTAAATTCGATTCTCGAACTTCGAAGAGTAAAAATATTTTAATTTAAGATTTACTTAGAATTATAAGATTAAATTTTATTAAATTTAAATTATTAGAAAGCGTAGATTAAGTTCTATAATTTAAAAAGAAAGTAATAAAATTTTAATAGAAAAAAGAGAAGTTATATTAATAATAGATTTCTAGAAAGTTAATTAACTTTAAATTAATTTAAATTTAATTAATAAGAAATTAATTTCAATATCTATTATAATCTTTTTATTTTAATTACTATTATTTTAATTTTTATTATTTATAAAATTTTTATTAATTTTATAATTTTTATAAATTCTATAATTTTACGATTTTTAGAATTTTAAAATTTTTTAGCGAGAGAGATTAATAAATTCGAATCGAGAACGAAGTGAAATAGTTTTAAATTTTATTAAAATTATTACTACTTAACTCTCTAAGTTTTTATAAAAGAATATTTTTAATAAAATAAATAAGTTTTTAATAAGCGATATTTAAATCCTTTACTTTTAAATATTTATAAGATTAAATTTAGAAATTCTTTTTTTATCTAAACGTCTATATTTTATTTTATAATTTTTAAAAAATCTTAAAATTTTAATAGAAAATAAAAAAGTTATTTTATATATTAATAATATATATCTATTACTTTAATAAGAGAGCTTAAGAAAATTAGCGAGCTAATTTAATTAATCTAATTAAAGAGTATAACGAACTCGAATTTATAATTAACTATATATATAAACTTAAGACTTTTTAAATTAACTCTATCTTATTTTATTATATATATTAATATTTTATTTTATTATAATTCTTAAAATATAATATTAAAATTTAAAGAAATCGCTTTAAAATAATAAAAGTTTATTAAGATAATAAAATATATTTTAAAATCTAACTTTTAAATTAAGATAAAGTTAGAGTCTCGAGATAATTCGAAATTTTACTTTAAAATCTTATGTACTAGTTAAAAAGATATAAGATTTTTTAAACTTAGAATTTTTTAACTTTTACTTCTTTTCTTTAAAATTTTATAACTTTATAATTTATTTAAAGAATCTTATAATTCTTAAAGCTCTATAACGAGACTAGTTTATTTTATACGAGACGATTTTATAATACGATAATTTATATTAAAAAATATCGAGTAAGATCAAAAATATCTTATATCTTTTAAAATAATATCTTAAAAATTACTTAAATTTTATATTAAATACTATATCTTTTCGATTATTAGAAATAATATCTCGAAAATTATCTAAATTTTATATTAAATTTTATATCTTTTCAACTATTAATCTTATCTTAATCTCGATTCTCTATATTATAAGCGAATTTTATATTTATAATATATTACTTAACTCTCTTATCTATTCGAGTTTAAAGTATTTTAATAAAGATATTTATTTATTACTTAATAAGTTTAAGTTTATAAATTAGATTTATAAAAAGTAATTAACTTTTAAATCTAATTTCGAGATTAAATTTAATTCTCGAAGAGTAAATATACTTTTATTTAAGATCTATTTAAAACTATAAGATTAAATTCTATAAATTTTAAATTATTAAAAAATATAGAATAAGTTCTATAATTAATAAAATAAATAGAAGAATTTTAATAGAAGAAAGAGAAGTTATATAAATAAAAGATTTTTAAAGAATTAATTAACTTTAAATTAACTATTAAGAAATTAATTATCTTTATCTTCAATTTTTACAATTTATAGAATTTTTATTAATTTTATTAATTTTACGATTTTTACGATTTTTATAATTTTACGATTTTTTAATAAGAGAGACTTATAAATTCGAATCGAGAATAAAGTAAAATAGTTTCGAATTTATTAAAAGTATTATTACTTAACTATTTAAGTTTATATTAAAGAATAAGTAAAGATTTATAAATTAAATTTATAATTATTTTTTAATTAGAGCTATCGAGTAAATAGATAAGCGATCTTTAATAAACGATATTTAAATTTCTTACGATTTAATAATTATAAGACTAAATTTAAATTTTTTTTTTTATTTAAAAGTCTATATTTACGCTACGTAATAAGATAAGAAACTTTAATAGAGTTTTAAGAGAAGTCGAGGTCGAGGTAGAGTTTCGAATCGAAGTTTTAAGTTTTCTTAAAACCTCGACCTCGCTTTAACTCGAAGTGAGATTTTAAAATATATCTCGTTAACTTAATAGACTCTAAATATCTCTAAGTAATCTCTCTAAATTTTAATAAAATATATTAAAAATAGAATAAAATAGAGTATAGAATACGATATTATAATTTAAATTAGAGTATAAGATATAAATACTTAAAAAGATATTTAGAATATATATTTAGAGAGGCGTAATAAGAATATTATAAAGATAATAGTCTCGAGCTAATTTAATTAATAGACTTAACGAAGATAACGAAATACTTTTATTATCTCGATAAAAAATCTTATCTTAATCTTATTCTACTTTATTAAAACCTCGACTCGAAGCGAGATAGTATTAGATATTTAAAACCTCGCTCTACCTCACTCCGTTACGTAGCGTATCTATATTTTATTCTATAATTTAAAAAAAAAAATCTTAAAAATTTAATAGAAAATAAAAAAGTTCTTTTATATATTAATAACGCTTATCTATTTTTTTAATAATTGCGAATAAACTTTAATAAGTAATATTTGAATTTCTTACGCTTTAATAATTATAAGATTAAATTTAGAAATTCTTTTTTTATTTAATAGTCCATATTTCGTTTTATAATTTAAAAAAAAAATCTTAAAAATTTAATAGAAAATAAAAAAGTTATTTTATATATTAATAACGTATATCTATTTTTTTTTTTTAATTATAAACGCTAATTTATTTAATTATAATAACTTAGTCGATTTAATTAAAGAGCGTAGCGAACTTAAATTTATAATTAGCTATATATATAAATTTAAGATTTTTAAGCTTAACTCTATCTTATTCTTTTATATATATTAATATTCTTAATAGAGTAAATACGTTTTTAATAAGCGATATTTTAAATTCTTTATCTTAAAGTATTTATAAGATTAAATATAATAATTCTTTTTATATTTTAAAGTTTAAATTACGTTTTATAATTTAAAAAAAAAGTTTTAAAATTTTAATAGAAAATAAAAAAGTTATTTTAAAATTTAATAACATATATTTATTTTTTAATTAGAGCTATCGACTATCGAGTAAATTTAATAAATAATATTTAAATTTCTTATTTTTAAATATTTATAAGATGAAATTTAATTATTTTTTCTTTATTTAAAAGTCTATATAACGTTTTATAATTTAAAAAAAGAATTAAAAGATTTTAATAGAAAATAAAAATATTATCTTAGAATTAAATAATATATATCTAATTTTTAATTAAAACTATTAATATATTTAATAAGTAAACTATAATAAATAATATCTAAGATTCTTATTCTTTAGTAATATATAATTAAATTTAAAAATTTTTACGTTATTAAAAAGCGTAATCTTTATTCTATAATTAAAAAGAAAATCTTAAAGTTTTAATAAAAAATAAAAAAGTCTTTCTATTTATAAATAAAAAAGTCTATTTATTTATAAATAATATATATTTATTTTTTTAATAAGAGATTTTAAAAGAACTAGCGAGTTAACTTAGTTAATTTAATTAAAAAATATAATATTAACTAGTTAAAAAAATATAATATATTTTATAAAATATTTTATATTAAGTAATATTATATTATATTAATATATATATAAAAATAAAATAAAGTTAAGCTTTAAAATTTATATTTATATATATA